TCGACCGATATTTCGCTCAGTGGGGGGGGGGGGGGGGGGGGGGGGGGGGGGAGGGGGAGGGGGGGGGGGGGGGGGGGGGGAGAAATGCGAGGGACGAGGGGGGATGCGAGGGACGAGGAGCAGTGGCATAATGGGCAGAAACGTTTGGGGGGGGGCAGAAACAAATCCGCATCACCACCACTCTTACACGTTACGCAGGCCCTGGGAACGTTTTTCAAAGTGGGGAGGGGGGAGGGGCTAAAGTATTTACGATCAGGTAGAGCAAAGCAAAGTGGAGCGTACATTGGCGTGGGGTCCAGGGGCAAAGCCCCGGCAGTGGTGTCAATGGGCGGAGCTTAATGAAGCTCAGGGGGTTTAGGCATTTAATTTCGGTCAGATGAGCAACCAGGGGCCTGACTTCGGGCCCTTGGTGGGGTCTAGGGGCAGGGCACCTGGAAGGTCAGGGAAAAATCATGCCATTTCTACAACATTTGTAAATCACTGGTATCGAATTAGAATTAAACCACGTTTGAATTTCATTTGGGGTAACTGCCCCCCAAAGCCCCCGCCCCCATCAGTACGCAGGTGAGAGGAGTAATAGTGAATGAGAGGGGTGAAGGTGACGGAAGTGACTACCCCCTCACAGGTTTTTTAAGTTTTGTTGTATTAAAAAATTACATTCCTTAGCAAAACTATAGTATAAACGTTAGCAATATACTTTTTTTTTCACCCTTCAATTTTCTTGGTATTTACTTGAACATTTTGAAGGATATTATGCGAGGGAGCGTAGCTACCGAGTGAGAAGAATTTTGCAGTTTTATTTGTTTAAACGCTGCACTCTTCGGCCCTCCAGAGCCTAAAAGTGTGTTGCAGTCTTTAGTCAGTATTTGCTATACATTTTGTGTGTGTGCACTTTTTCAAATTTTGAGGGGGGAGGTGTCCCCCGCCCCGGGATCGCCGCCCCTGGGGGGGGGGGGGGTAAGTTTAACCCTAACACACCACCCCCCCCCCCCCTGCGTACGCGCCTGTGCAAGACTATACAATGCAAACCATACAGGTCTGGGAATGGCAGAATACCATTTGACCCCACGCTAGTTCTGCCCCGACCAAGAAATCTTGGATCCGCCGCTTTAACATTTATCAACGTTAGACGACAGGGCATTTTGAGTCTCTGTAAATAGGCCTCGTACTCCCTTCGTTTCTTCGGATCTTTGGGTCGAGTAGCTTATCGAGGGTAAAATGGTGCGCTGATTCCAAGGTCATTGACCCTACTTACATTTTGGCCACTGACCATTATGGTCACTCTTGGTCAGGGATAAATTTTCTAATCGTTATTATCAGCAAAAGAAATTTGATGTGCTTAATTATTCTACTTATATTCATATTCCTGTTTTTCGCACGATGTGTGCTATAAGCTGCTTTAGTTGGGAACACGACATCACTTTTTATTTGAAAGTTACGAGTTCTGACATTTTTGAAAAACTTTCAGAAACAAAGCAAGTACCAATTAGTACAAGGATCATGCTTGCTTGTGTTACCCGGGCCGGGGTAAATAATATAAATTCTGAAAAGAAATGAAGAGGCTGGTCAGAATAAGTGTTTACTGTGAAGCATCAGGTATAGAACTCCTTTAATAACATAAACAATAAACATGGAATAACATATTCCACTAACGAAACTAAATACAAGTAATACGGATTAAATATGAATATAACCACAGCTAACTCTAAATTCATAAACAACATTGGCATAGGCATCTGACTGCTTATCTTCTAATCTGAACACGGCTAACTTTAATTATAGACCAAGGTGAACCAGTTAAAAGTCGTTTTGTGTCTTTTTACACAATAACCCAACTTTCTACAATATTCCGACCTGTCTATAGTCGCAGTAACCCTAACATCCTTTTCTAAAATAATACACGATTACTTTCTCAATTCTAGCAAAACTCTATTTGCAGGGACAAAAGTAAAACAAAGGATACAAGGAATATATTCTAACAAAATCACACTCAATCTTCAAACATGATATTATAACAGTTAAAAAGAGAAACCAGAAATAAGAGGGAGTAAAAGAGAAGGACATGAGAGAAACCGAAAGAAAAAGAGAAAGAGAGAGAGAGAATGAGAGAGAAACTACAAATGCATAACAACTCATTTATCAAAGACCTGAATCTTGAACTATGAACCCAAATTCTCTCTTTTCTACGATATCCCTCATTTGTCCAGTTGGTGGACTACTGCTGACCACAAGTCATTAGTCATAGCATGTCACAGTTATCTCTGATAAAGACCAGAGAAACTTCTCCCAATGCACAGACTATTGAATTGGTATCAGGATTAACTTTACTACTACTCTTGTATAGTGGGGTATGAACTTGTCACTATACATCTCACATCAAGCATACACACATTATGAGGCGTGTTCACACTAGTTAGTTTAACCTGACTTAGTATGAATATATAAAGATTTACTACTTCTACTACATAATAATACGACCATTATATAATCTAAATGCTTCATAAACATAACTAACACCTTACAATAGATACATGTCACGTAGATACATATGTTAAACCTGCATCTCTCATGATCAGTCTGGTTTAATAAAATACACTTAATTGGTTCTAATATCACTAATAACATTCACTCATTAAACACGAGTTGCAGCACAACAATGTAATATATGAATCGAACAATTATAATTAACTTAAACAAACAAAATTGAAAAAGATTAAAAGTTGTAATTTCTTACCTGAAAAAGAAATGAAGAGGCTGGTCAGAATAAGTGTTTACTGTGAAGCATCAGGTATAGAACTGATGCTATCAGGCAGAAACCGCTGACATGACCAACGCCTTCGATTTGGTTTCGTTTTGGGGAGAGGGCACAATATGAGTCGCCACTTCTTGGAAAACAGGGGTTGGGTTTCTGCATCTTTGCAGCAAGCAGTGAAGAATGTGTAAACTTTTTAAGGAACTGGTGTGTAAAATATATGACAATACTAACAGGATATATGTATACAAAATTTTGAGGGAGGCCTATTTTCTAGGGCCTTACACTTGGATATCAGAAAATTATTTGTTTCACTGGCCATATGAAATTCAAGAGGTCAAGGGGTGCGAGAAGATGGGTTGGATTTGGCATCCTCCCCTCCCAAATGCCCTGACTGTGTATTTATGCTGGCACCGTCTCCAACTATTTTCCAATCTCGTTCAATCTCTAGTTGACTCTCTCCCCTTGCTGTCTTTTGCCCTCTACCCTTCCCCCTTTCGCTCTCATTTTCACAAAATCATCTCTTTTTCTCTCTCTCACACACTCACAACATTCTTCCCCTCTCTCTGGCACACACACATCCTAGGTCAGGGCTTTTTAAAGAACATGTACAACCGTCTGGCATGATTGCCATTTTAAACCAATTGCACGAGGATATAAAACACGACGTGTGTTATAAGTCAACATCACCTTATGTTGGGGGAAGTTAGTTCGACAAAAACTGAAGAAAAAAAGATATTTTGAAAGCAAAGTGTACTGCAATTTCCACAGCAACATTTTACTAAACAAACTGCATCTTTATCAATAGGACAAGTTAAACTATTATCAACAAATTCATTAAAACAATTAGATACATACTATTTCACACCCCACCCCCCCCCCCTCCTCTTTCTAGTATGGTTCCTTTTGGTGCTTTATCTCATAATCTCTCTCTCTCTCTCTCTCTCTCTCTTTACCTCCTTTTTCTTGTTTTTAGTCTCTCTCTCACCCATATACAGTAAGCGTAAATGTGATTATTTATGCACAGCTCTCTTTTTTCAGAACAATCATACTCTACATGTATGTTGTACACACATGACCAAAGATCACACAAATATAAAATACAACAAATTAAGAAATGTCATATAAATGTAAATTTATTGTACAATACTGTGAAAATTAACCAAAATATAAGGAATGCAATATATAGTACACATACAATGTGTGGGCTAAATTGTCACATCACATCAACAACATTTGAAAAGAGGGGACCAAACACAAGATGCCCCTAATGTAAGGTCAAAGAGCCTATCTTTATTGTAATGTGAAAAAACATGTACCTTATCAATTTATATACATTTAATTACTTGATTTCATAGCACAAACCCTACTTACTGTATGGGTTTTGAAGGAGTTTCATCTCTTAAATATTGGCAATCGTAGATTAAATATATTTCATTTTTAAAATTTTATTTAAGGAAGTTTGTTAAAAAAGCACGAAATTATTTAAAGTGAAAGGTATATTTAGTTGCATCTTTACAAAGCACTCAAATCTCATACAGATACAAAAAACACTTTTTAAATCTGAAAACACTATATTTTTGTCCCTAATGAATTTCTGAATGATAATACTCTGTCAAGGTGACATTCACATTTTAACTTTCACAACTCTGTTTTAAGTTATACACAAATTGCATGGCAGAACAGGACACAGTAATTCTAATTATTCTTTATTCAACAATTTATTAGCCATCGTAAAATAATTATAATCTTGGTTTAAAGTGCATTCAGCATTATCAAAATAGACACAAATTGACAAAAAGAATTGGGAATAGATTTCTTTACATTTGGCCTTCTATTTACATCGATAAGAAAGCAAAGTGTACCTCATGTACACAATGATTTAATTTCAAATTCATACAAATTCTTAATCCCAGGAAGAGGGGGAGGGGGAATGTCTTACTGAGGCCTGTACATCATCCCCATACATGAACAAAGGGTAGAGGTGTTCATCACCAGCGCTTAACTTGCATATCGCTTAACAGGACAAATTCTGGAAAAAGGCTATCACAGAGCTGCCAACATTTGATTTGGGTAATCAGGGAGATTTCTGAGAGAGCAGCATCGAACGACTTCATTGTTGGCGGGAACCAAGAATGGCCTTTTAGTGCCCCTGGTGGGGGGGGGGGGGGGGGGCAGGGGGCAGGCCCCCAAAAGCTCTTGGTTTTAAGCCTCTTTGAAACCCTTTTAGAACACATTTTTTCAATGATTTCTCAAAATGGAAGGCTTTGATATGGCACATTTTATTTGCATACAATTGATAACATATGAACTTCACATCATATTTCAGACTATGAACTCCTGTTACCTCTATTGTGAAATGGGGGATGTACTTGTGGAAGGCAAGGACTGGGGTGTGCTTGAGGGTTTTCCTTGAAGTGACTGGTAGGTTGCTTGCTTGAGTTTGCTAAGGAGGTCCTTGCTATACTCCCTTTGGTAGCATGGGACATCTGTGTTGGCAATTTTCTCTGTTAGGAGTGCTTGAAGTGTTTTCAAATTCATTGATCCCCTGAAATCAGTTTTGTTCTTCCTAACAATGCTAAAAACTCTTTCACATGAAGCATTGGAATGTGGTATCACAAGCAAAGATTTCATCACTTTGCTCAGAAGTGTGTATTTCTTTGAGCCATTGCCATCCTCCATCTTTGAAATTGCAGACCATTTCTTGTCTATTCTCAAGTTTTTGTTCAGGATCTCTGGTTCCCCTGAAAAGTCTTCAACCTGGTATTGTGCAAATTCCAGCTCAAGCTTGTCCAGGTCTCCATTCTCTGATTGTCTGTTCAAAATGCAAGGGTACTTTTCAACAAAGTATTGCACAGATGAAAATGACACATCTCTTCTGGAACTGACATCAATCACTTCAGCCTCCTTAAGGAACTTAACATCTAGTGGCCAGGTTTTCAAGGCATAGTCACATGCTGATTCATAATACTTCCTCACCGACAAGTAGAAGTATGTCAAATCAGCATCTGTAAGACGAAGGGGAGAATCATCTTCTGGGCTTGTTGTACTCTCCAGGTATTCCTTGGCATCTTTTCCAATCATTAGATCTTTATCTGACTTCTGGCAATCTCTCTTACCATACTGCACTTTCTTGACATCAGAACATTCAACAATCACTGTTGGCTGCACGAATCTAACAAGCATATCTTGGAAGGTTTTATTAAGCTGCTTATTAAGAATGTGAATGCAGGGTTCTTCTCTCTGTAGGAGTAGGTTGATGTCATCAAAGATCTTGTTACTGTATTTGAGGAAGTAACAATACAGTTTGGTTTGGGGTGATATCAGCAAACGATGGACTCTGACCAGACGTGATTCCTGAAGAATTGGTGCAGTCAAGGTTCCAGCTTTCAGAACAGGTCGCTTGGCAGGTAATGCACCCTGAGGCCCGCTTGATTTCCTTTTCAAAGTCCTTGAAACCGATGAGTATTGCTTTGATGTAGCTGTCAACGAGCTGGTTGATGTAATGGATGTCTTGGCAGTCTTCTCAGCAGATGGTCCTTTCTTTGGTGCAGACATCGAAGTGCTTGTTGTGCTAGATGACTTGGAAGTCTTCTCAGCAGATCCTTTCTTTGGTGCAGACATCGAAGTGTTTGGTGTGCTAGATGACTTGGAAGTCTTCTCAGCAGATGGTCCTTTCTTTGGTGCAGACATCGAAGTGTTTGGTGTGCTAGATGACTTGGAAGTCTTCTCAGCAGATGGTCCTTTCTTTGGTGCAGACATCGAAGTGCTTGGTGTGCTAGATGCCTTGGCAGTCTTCTCAGCTAATGGTCCTGTCTTTGTTGAAACTGGTCTTCTGGTCATTGTGCTACCCTTCATCTCTTCTTTAAAAAAGAGTTGCAGTGGTTGCCACTGTGACAAAAGTCTGTCAATACATAGCCCGAGAGAAAGCCATCGAGTTGCTCCATGCTTCAAAATCTTCCGAACACCAGTATCACACAAAATCTGTAGAGATTTTAAAGCTTTCTGGCGCTTACTACTCTTATCCAGATAGTAGTAAATGTCAATGAGTAGTTCATCAATGGCTATTGGAAGCGCTTTAGAGGCTTTCTCAGCTGTATTGTGCGCCATGTGGCATGGGCATCCTACGACATAACATTCAGAATGTTCCTTCTGTATAAAGGCCGCTACACCCTTGTGTCTACCTAGCATTACGGATGCATTGTCTGCAACAAAGGATATGCAGTTGCTCCATGGAATCTTTTCCTTTGACAGTTCTCTATTGAGAAGCTGGAATATGTTTTCCCCTGTTGAAGCACCATCTGTAAGTGCAGGCAAGCTTAACAATGCCTGAACAACTTTTTCTTTTGTTTCATCAAAATAGTTAAGTAGCACGGGATATAGCTGTTCAGAGCCGCCGTCATTTGACCCATCAGTCGCCAAGCTGAAAACCGAATTCCGAGCCTCTTCAGCAATCAAGGCAGATGTATTCTTGCTCATCGCATGGATCATTGACGAAGTTTTGGTTCTTGCAGAACCGTACTTGGTAGCAATGTTCGAGTCGGGAAACATTTTCTTGAAAATGGGGCCAGCGTGATCTGAAGCAGCAACTGGTAAATTGTGCTCTACCAGAAAGCCTGTAAACAGAGCTTCGGCCTTGGTTGCACTGTCATCACCAGCTGCTGACCTGAAGAAAAAAAACGATATAAAATTAAATTTAAGAAAAACTTTGAAAGGAAAAAAAAAATCAGATTGCAGTTTACATATTCTCTTTAAAAGTTTAAAGGTTAACTACAGTTTTGGTAAAAGCGAATATTTTTATCCCCGAAATTTGTCTTAAAATCTGAATAAAATGAAAAATAGTATCAAGCATATGTTGCACAAAATATTGTGAGAAAAATAAATGAGTATTAGTAAAGCTATTACCTAAAATGTGCTCAAAATATTCATTATCGTTATCCCCGATAATTAACCAAAATCTTCTTCCTTGATAAAGAACACCTTCCCATGCACAGAATTGGATGAAAATTTCAGAATTTATTCTTTTTTATCATTCTGTGGTCAAATCTTTTAAATAACCTTGCATATGCCAGATAATTAACAAAACATCATTGTTACCGAGAGAGGGCGCTAAATACGATTTAACGGTCAAATTCGAATTTTCAAAACTAAGGATCGAAGCAATTCATAAAAATGATGCTATTGTCTTGCAATGTGTGTAACCTAACAAACTATTAAAGTTCATGATACTGGCATAAAACAGTCAACGTGCAGATTAGTATTTCAAATAAAAACATAAAATCGTGAGAAAATCCACCCTTCAAGTCCCGCACACGTGTTTATGAGTAAGTCTAAGTTTTAGGGAGATTAATGAGGTCCCCAACTACTGACGAAATGAACTCAGGTCTATGGTATAGAGGGGTAGACTATTTCTCGATTTTACAAATCTAAGAACTGTTCATACTAACCTGAAAAAGCTCTGTATTCCTTTTGTATTGCCCCTTGCTTTCGCGGTTTGCTTGTGTTTGTCAGATGTGATGTGGCGAAATACATCATTTCTTCCCCCACTCTTGATGGAGATATCTGCGCCGCAAACTGTACAAAATGCGTAGTATTCGCCTTTCGTAGATTTCCCAACACAAGGCCATTCCAAGTGGTAGTCATCTTTATATTTCTGATAATATTTCGACTTCGACATTGTCCTGGATGATATTTTAATACTCAAACAGAGAGCAAAATACAGCCTTGTTTTGGACAAAGTTGACTTACGCCTTCGGAAGATGCAAGTTATATCGATGCGTTCCCAACGGCAAAGGAGATCAGAAAAAAAAAGTCGGCTTCAAAATCCACTCTGCAGTAACACTGCCATGTTGGTATCAAATGATAATCCACTTAAAAATCACATCGCAAAAGTCCCCAAATCAATCCAAAAACTGATGTTGAAATGTGCAGTTTTTTGGGCCGATCGCAGCAGACAAAGTCTGCTTGTTGTATCAGTGCAACTTCTGGCTGCTCTGACGCGACCGATCGGAAACCGGCACCAACGTACCGGGACGCTACGGGGGCCGGCGAGGAAGCCGCCCGGCAGAGCAAGCAGGCGAATTGCTATCACACAAACACCACTCACATTATCACATGTTCCCAATGGTTTGTTAGATTAGCCCGCCAGTCGTTCGGCGTAACTCTCATTTATTACGCTGTTAAATAAAGTACGATATCACGGTAAATTTATATTCGACGACTGGATAACAGGAAAATTCATATTACAGAATTGCCGTGTGTTTGTATACGTACGTACGAACTCAACATGCTAGTCTTGTGAAACAGTCGTTTATGAAAATAATACAACTTAAAATCTGGAAATCCGGGAGATTTTTGCATGGGGTCGGGAAAACGGGATATTGGGTCAAAATCCGGGAGTCTCCCGCAGGATCCGGGAGACTTGGCAGCTCTGCTATCAATTCACTGGTGATAAGAAGATATGTGGAAGTACTTGGGCTTTCCGCTTTATATTACTTTTCCTGATATTGAAATATGGCGTACACAGACTTCTTCTAAAGTGATAAAGAGGTCAATCTGCTGTTCTAGTCTAGCAGCTTTACTGTCACCCTCCAGGTGTAAGGTGTACATCAAGCTGGAATCATTACCAGCACTCAGAATCTAATCCATGCTCTCCTCGATCTCTTCTTTGACAGGCTCCAGTGCTTGCCTCTCTTGGTCTTTCTTTGCTTTAGCTTGAAGACATTGTTTGATCTCCATGCCGATGGCAGCAGCCATGGGAGGGGGTACTGCGTTGCCAATCTGAGGAATAAAGATTTAACAAAAGAGAGTGAAAGACCTTGGTATTAAGTTTGCATCTAGGAAATACAAAAATTGTTTCGTTTTTAAAGTATTGTTAGTAATAGATGAGTACTTGCCGTCAGAATGAGAAGGAAACTATTAGTTTGAGTGCTAATTCATGTGCTATGTATGAGTCTATGGCATGCCCACTGCCTAGGCTATGTCAATGTCAGTGTCACTTAGCTGTGAATGAGATTTACAGCGGGTTTGCGCTGATCCTCACACTCTCGCCAGGCCTAGACTCTAAGCCCTGTGCCATAGCAGCACGCAGCATGGTATAGGGGCTGAACTCACTGCTCACACTATGGGAGGGCCTTGTCTTTGGTCTGTCAAAACTTTCATCTCAGGTAGATGTGGACTCATAATTGTCTATCACTTCTGTCAGTTTATCATGTTAACTGTTATCATCAAAACTAAGTTTGATCTAAATACATATATCTACTGGAGTGATGCTTTATTTTCTGTAATCACTAGCCATTTCACAGGTATTCAGGTATGAAGAAAGTACATCTGTTAGCTGTTGATACTACCAAATCATTGTAATGGGTAGTCACTGAGCATATTCTGTCTACAACCTTGTTGCATTTTTAGTTGAAACAGGAAACCTGAAAATTAGCAATGTTACTGCTTTCTCTTCATTTGACAGATGTCACTCACAGCCCGAGGAGAGGGGCAATGAGTCTGATAGAAACTGCAGTGAGAGTAATGAGGCATGTGCATAGAAGCTGAAGATGGGCAGAGCTAAGCCATAATCAACTAGATGGATCTTCGACTGCACGCAGTTAAGATCCATGAAGCCATGAAGCGATTTTACAAACCAAAACAAAGTAATTTGTAAAATTCAAGTTTGATTGTAATTCATTAACAGGTTCTCAGGATATCCTAATTACAAGCTTTTTTTCCTCTTAAATGTATGACCCTTTGATCTTTGACCTCAAGACACTCAAATCTAATCAGTTCATTGGCTCTGCAAGATACATACATGTCCTGAGTTTGATAGTAATCCGTCCACCAGTTCTTTAGATAACGCGATCACAAGCTATTTTTGCATACATATTGAGCCCTCTGACCTTTGAACTTTGACCTTGCGACCCAGAAATCTAATCAGTTCATTGGCTCTGCAAGATACATACATGACCTAAGTGTGGTAAGAATCTATCAATCAGTTCTTGAGATAACGCGATCACGAGAACGGGACGTACAGACGGACAACCCGAAAAACATAATGCCTCCGGCTACTTCGTAACAGAGGCATAAAAAATCAACCCTTTTCGCCCATTACAACTCCTTTACTGTTGTCCTCATCACCCATTTCCCACCTGGTTGCCATAGTTACTAACCTGTCTGTGCTTGTCCAGGATGGAACCAAAGAAGCGATAGGTATCTGGGAATCCCTGTGAGCGTGCACACTCCCTCACGCTGACAACCCGGTGCTGCTCAGGGTGGAGGACACGCCCCTTTCAAGATAAGAAAAGAATCTTTTTATTCTCTCATATTTTCAATTATTCTACAACAAAGTAGAAGACAAGAGTAAATATCTAGTTACTTATGTGCTGAGAGTAATAAGTAAATGACAGCTTTGGGGGAAAAGATTCACTATTAAATCCTTTTATTCATCATACATCGATGGGATTATATTTAAATAAGTAACTAAATGTATTTCAAATTTAAATTAGAACTCAATGAAGGGATATATCAATACCAAGAAAACATTCTCTATGAGATTGGTAATTAGCAATGAGGAGGAGGTGATTAAAAGCACCATCAAAGTGCACTCAGATGTGAATTAGTGGAGTAGTCTAGCAGTCTGCTCTCTGTCTTTACCTACAACTGACTAAGATCAACTTCAGTTCACAACTCTGGGTCAACGGTAGATTCCAAGATGACAACAATCACACATGTATTTGATTGATACACGTCTGTAAAAACCCAATTGCACACTTAGTATCACGGACAGCATCCTTTCCATGTCTTAAAGTGCTATCACTCTCCTCTTCTCCTTCTTAAAGTGCTATCACTCTCCTCTTCTCCTTCTTAAAGTGCTATCACTCTCCTCCTCTCCTTCTTAAAGTGCTATCACTCTCCTCCTCTCCTTCTTAAAGTGCTATCACTCTCCTCTTCTCCTTCTTAAAGTGCTATCACTCTCCTCTTCTCCTTCTTAAAGTGCTATCACTCTCCTCTTCTCCTCCTCTTCTTTTGACCCACCTGTTTGCCCATAGGCTCAGGGTTGGTGACCGTGGTGCTGAAGAATCCGTCCCACTCCAACCGTCCATACAGCCCCGCCCAGTGGTTGTGCCTGTTACCTGTGTGAGGTAGACACCAGGGGATGAGGGTGCTGAACTGACGATCTGAGGGGTCACACGCCTCCCCCTCTGCACAGGAGCATACCCCTTTCAGAGCACCAGAGGACAACTTGCCGCTCTTCGTGTCCCTGTGAGTGTAGCGCCTGTAATAGGATGGTGAAGCTTATGTTAAATATGACAGCGTTTAAAATTAAAATTAATTTTGAGAACTTGCTGTGAAGCTTATTTGTGGTTTAAGGCGATTGATGGAAATGCGAAGGTCGAGGGTTTAAATCCCGACACGGCACTAATATCCTTTGGCAAGATATGAACCTGCACTTGCTACTCTCCACCCAGGTGTTAAATGGGTACCCGGTAGGATGCGGCCATCATTGTTGGTCAAACAGTTTTTGAGTAATGGCTGGCTGGAATGCTCCCCAGGGAGTGGAGATTGTGCACAGTGTGTGCGCGCAAGCACTGAATCAATGACCGGAGTAATAGTATATTTGTAAAGTGCTATATAAAAACTAAATATTATTATTATTATTATTATTATTATTAGAAATGGGATCTCAGGGGGATTATGACACCATTCGGTTGTTTAAGGCCTTGTCTGACATTGGCACCACCAAATGACTCTCTGTGAGACGAGGGAGTATTTCTTTATTGGCCTACGGGTTTGCTGTGTGCAGACTTGTACACCCATCAATGATATTTCTGATTTCAGCGAGTTGTGAACCTCTCCATATGGAAACGGACAACCCACCCACTTCATGAAAACTTCTTATTAATCATTGCGTCTACGAATGTGACCATTACATGAATAGAGACGCTCTTTCTTCAATGTACGATCGATCCCGTTCTACCACAACGTCACTGCATCAGAACAGCGCCAGCTATGACATAGGTCTGAAGAAACTTGCAACACAGCAAGTGAAAGCTTACCAAAACAGGTCATTTTTCCACAAATTGAGAAGAAAGAACAAGATTTCAAGTTTCAGTACCAATCAGATGATAATTATGCTGGATTTTCTTAATATATATTTTTAAATTGTTATGAGAGCTCCATAGTATTATATCAAAAGCAAGACTTACAGTTTCCTACACGTGGTTCCATCTTTGAGGGGGACAGGAATGTTGGGTAGGTCACGCCAATCTGACCCCGGCGCCAATGGGATGTGCTTCATACGAGCAGCTACGAGAGCGCTCATGTCCTTACACATGTGATCACGTAAGATTGGCTGGTATTGGTTGCCTCGGATCTAGGGGAAATAACAATATATTCTACCAATAGTGACTGATATACAGGAAAAACCAGACTTTTATATGCATGAAATATTTGCTAATCTTGGAGTGGTTCAGATTCACCCAGATTTCATGCCATAAACTTTGTTTATTTGCAGTGAGATGACTTGTGGATGATTGTAATAGACTGTAATGTTTTATCCATTTGATTGTTGTGTATTCTCATCTTTCCTTTTTGTAATCTTTGTAGTTGTCCTACTGAAATTTATAGATTGGAATAAATGTAACACTGACAAATATAGAATCTAGACTACTTATAATTATGCCTATCTTTATATCTATATAAAAGTTTCCTCTAAATCAAGATGCAATTCACCTTCTTTTGGAAGTCTGATTGTGGTTCACCATCATAGGAGATCTCCAACTTCTGAGCCCCGTTGCTGATTGTGGGCAGATCAGACATGCTATCCCTCACAGAGATGGTGCGATAGGGAGCTGATAGGCACCACTGGTTGTTAGATTGGATCTTCTTATCACCGATCATCACACTGAGGGAGCAGGCTCGAGGGGAGAAGACATGGAGGGGTTCTGGGTAGAAGGGAAGCTTCTCGCCCGGTGCTGCAGCCAGGATGATGGCTCTTCGTCTGGTCTGCGGTACACCGTATTGACCGGCTTGGAGAATGCCAAATGTACACTGGAGAAAGACGAGAGAGAGAGAGAGAGAGAGAGAGAGAGAGAGAGAGAGAGAAAGACGAGAGAGAGAGAGAGAGAGAGAGAAAGACGAGAGAGAGAGAGAGAGAGAGAGAGAGAGAGAGAGAGAGAGAGAGAGAGAAAGACGAGAGAGAGAGAGAGAGAGAGAGAGAGAGAGAGACGGGAAAGATATGAATAGAAGGGAAAAAACAGACAAAGCAAAAACAAAAAATAAGATAAGAATGAAGTACAAACTGGGAGGACAAGATCTTCTCTAGTGAAAACATGTAAATTTATTCTGTATGGAGGTTATTTAGAAATTTGACGATTAAAAAAAAGAGAAAATTCAGCCACGAGTCATTCAGATAAATCACGTTTGTACACCAGAAAAACAAACAAATCAACACCAGCCCAACAGTAGACCAACAAAATGTAACATCAGTTATTGTGTGACTAGGGTATTACAGGGAGGCGCAATCAATTTGAGAAAAAAAAAAGGGGGGGGGGGTAGAAGTATAAAAAAACAAACCTGATAGCCCATGCGTATCAGACAGCGCAGAGCCAGCTTCAGAACCATGTTTTTCTTGTATGACACAAAGTTACGAACGTTCTCCAGAAGGAAGAAACGAGGGCGGTAGTAGTCGCAGTAGCTCAGGTACGAAGATATAAGGGAGTTCTGTGGAATAAAAGAAATATAGATTCACGATTCATATTCCTTTAAGAAAGATGTAAGTATGGGAATTAAAGAAAAACGTGTGTAGATCATGGAATGGAACACTTTATTATAAAACTAAAGTTTTCAGAATGAATGAAAGAGGTTTTTACCACAAAAACCATTTGAGAAAATAATAATGAAACAATTATAACTGGGGATTGACAATAATAAAATCATAAAGATGAAATACAGGGGGAAAAATAACTAAGAGTAATAAATACTGTTTCCATGGCAATGACTTGACATCACCCAATCAACAAACTTCTACAAAACATGGAGATCAATAGATCTAATTCACAATTCACAAACATTGAAATCTGACAAAGTTTATTTTACTCCACAACGTTTTGCAATAAATGAAAAAACAGCCAGATTTTATATACCATATTCAAACTTCATTTGTTCAGCATTGACCAATAGCTTACCTTGAATTTAGAATATTCTCTGGAGTTGAATCTGTTCATTCCACTGAAACCCTGGCATGGTGGTCCACCACATAGGAGTTCTACATCACCCTTCTGAGGTAACTTCTGCCCAGTACGACTTGTCTTGTCTCCCTGAAAAAGTTTCATTGAAAAGCCAGGTTTATGCACAACATTATGGCGAGAGTGCCTGTTTGCGCACAGCCCTTGTCTGTGCATATTCAAGTTTAACTGCGTGATTCTAATAAAAGAAAGCATGCAACAAACACAATTTGTTTTCTTTCTATTGTATATATTCGTGCAAAAACAATGTTTCAGACTATCATTCTGGATTTTGTATTTGTTACAAAAAAATGTGATCAAAGAACAGCTTCAAACTTTCAGCACTTGAGGCACAAAATCCTGCCACATGTACAATTTTGCATCAGTTATGTTTACCTTACCCTTCTTCCTCAAATCCAAAATATGGGTTCTAAAAGAAGAATAGTGGTCACAGGAATCCCCATTTAGGATATGTCTCTTGGAAATATATTTGAGACAATGTTTTCAAAATTCATGGTGAGATGAAACTAAATCCCAAATTACCTCTCTGTCCTGGAATTAATACAGGAACCACCCAATTCATGAACAGCAAAAACTTGATAAATTTGGGCAAATGTTGTATTAACAGTCTCAACCTAATGTTGGTTACTGAACAATGATATTCAATATAAATTTTTCTACTAGTACATGATGAGTATTACCTGCATAACCAGCCTGAGTAACTCATTACAGTCATCACTGAAGACTGTAGAGCCTGGATTGTTGAGTCTGAAGGCTTGTGCAGCAGGCTCCTCCTTCTCTATGGCCCAGCTAGATTCACAGATACCAGCTTGATGGAATCCCTCAGATAGACCTGATGCAAGTAAACAATGATGTCATCACATTTCAGAATCAACATTATTTTTATCCCAGTTATCATTTGGGGAGGGTGGAGGGTGCTAGCTTTTTACTTTTGTTCTATCCCCACACACTCTCTCTCTCACTATCATCACTCTGGCAGTCATTTACTAATTCTATCATCGTCATCAACATCATACAACTTGTTTACCACACTCCTCCTCCTCCTCCTACACATCGATCATCATCATCATCATTTTGGCCATATCTCCATTACCATCATGATCACTTCATTAATTCTGCTGCATTACCATATAGGTTCATAATATATAGTACATATATTATACATAATTTTTGATATACATTTTTTTTTCTTTCTTTCTTCCCCGTAGCATGAGAGTAATTTTAATTGCTTCATTCTTGTAATTAAGTGAAATGTTATTCGTTATTGTATAATTGTGTTAAGTGGGGGCACGCAACAAGAGTCCTATCTCGCACCCCGGGGCAACGTGTCTGACACGGCCGGTTGTAGCAACTACTTCGAAGATCAAGATTAAGATTAAGATTGAGAATAATAATAATTTAGACTTAGACTTAGAGTAATATTAAGATTACGATTAAGATCAAGACCAACATAACATAATGAAAATGCCCAATAGAGCAGCATCCCAGAGCAATTCCGCTGAGGGACCCCTCTCACGACCGGCCCTGACGGTGCTATCATGGAACGCCGAAGGTATATCAGATGCCAAGGAGGAAGTCCTTGCACATATGTGCAAACGAATGAACTGCGATGTGCTATGTCTTCAAGAGACTCACCGCGGCAGCGACAATCCACGGCCCAAGATCAAGGGTATGAAGCTTGCCATCGAGCGGCCACATCGCCAATATGGAAGTGCTATCTTCATGAACGAGAAGATCAGACCGGATTCTACATCCTATACCCACAATAACGACATCGAAGTGCTGAATGTGACAATCAAAGGACTAACGATCTCCTCCATCTACAAGCCACCAAACATAAGTTTTTCGTATCCTTCCACCACTACCAATAGGCATATTGTAATTGGCGATTACAACAGCCACAGCACGCAATGGGGATATGATACCACTGGAGATGATGGAGCACTAGTTGAAACATGGGCCCAAAACAACGACCTAAAACTAATCCACGATCCAAAGCTCCCAAAGTCTTTCGCCAGTGCCCGCTGGAAGAGACGTTACAACCCGGATCTAGTTTTCTGCAGCAGGCTGCTTGCTCCCACCAGTCGTAAGTTTGTAGCTGAGCCGATTCCAAGATCCCAACACCGACCCATCGGCATTCAACTGACTGCAGTTATCACACCAAACAAGACCCCGTTCAAGCGCAGGTTCAACTTTGCTAAGGCAGACTGGCCTGCTTTCACCGAACACCTTGATCATGCCCTAACACATCTCCCTGCAGATCCAAAGAACTATGAATCCTTCATAGATATAGTCAAGAAGGTGTCACGTACACATATCCCAAGAGGCTGCCGCACGACATACATTCCAGGCATCGATGAGGAATCAAGTCAGCTTCTGGCAAACTACACCACAGCCTACGACACAGATGCCTTCTCAGAGGATACCATCAACCTTGGAGAAGAGCTTATATCAAGGATATCTCAACGACATAGGCAGATGTGGCAGCACATGATTGAAACAACAGACTTAAGACACAGCAGCAGGAAAGCGTGGGCCACCATACGCAAGCTCGGAATTGACAGCACCAGAGCTCAACAGCATTATAATGTTACGGCTGACGAAGTAGCAAATCAGCTGTTGAAAAATGGAAAGGCCCCCAAGACGACTAATTCACACAGGCACAAACTACCTGGAGTTGACCAGAACATGTCTCTTTTCACAAGACCTATTTCTGAAGAAGAACTACAGAAAGGTATCTCCACGCTACACGTCAACAAGGCGGCAGGCATCGATGACATCAGATCGGAGCAGATCAAACACATGGGCTCTGTAGCACAGAAATGGCTGCTAGACATGTTTAACAACTGCATCGAGAACACATGTGTCCCAAAACAGTGGCTCCGAACCAAAGTCGTCGCTATCCTCAAGCCAGGAAAGGACTCGAACGAAGCCAAGAACTTTCGACCGATCTCGCTCCTGTGCCAAACATACAAGCTGCTTGAACGCCTTATTCTCAACAGAATTGGGCCTCACGTTGACAGCCAACTGAACTGTGAGCAGGCAGGTTTCCGACCAGGAAAATCCACCACGGGACAACTTCTCAACCTGACCCAACACATCGAAGACGGTTTTCAGAACAACCTCATCACAGGTGCAGTATTTGTGGATTTATCTGCGGCTTATGACACTGTCAATCACCGAAGGCTACAGACAAAACTTCATGACATCACAAATGACCTCAAACTCACCAGATTCATTCAGAAGATGATGCAGAACAGACGCTTCTTTGTCGAACTGGATGGGCAGAAGAGCAGATGGCGGAAACAGAAAAACGGTCTCCCCCAGGGTGGCGTCCTGGCGCCAACACTCTACAACATATACACTGCTGACATCCCTTCAACAGAGAACACTCGAAACTTCATCTATGCAGATGACACCTGCATCACAGCCCAGCATAGTACCTTCGAAGCTGTTGAACTCCATCTCAACACAGCGCTCGCAAGCCTTTCGGAGTACTACAGAGCAAACTACCTACGGGCAAACCCATCCAAGACTCAGGTGTGTGTTTTCCACTTGAAGAACAGGGAGGCAAAGAGAGAACTGAAGCTAAAGTGGAACAATGTGCAACTTAACCACTGCGAGCATCCAGTGTATTTAGGTGTAAAACTTGACCGCACTTTATCCTTCAAGAAACATATCGAGAAGACAATAGGCAAAGTAGAATCTCGAAATGCCATCATCGGGAAGCTAGTATCTTCACACTATGGCGCTGACCCCAAAACTGTACAAAGTGCAGCTGTTGCTCTATGCATGTCATCCGCAGAATATGCTTGCCCAGTTTGGAGCAGATCAGCCCATGTGAAGAAGCTTGACACCACACTCAATAACACATATCGAAAGATAACAGGATGTCTGAAACCAACAAAAGTTGAGGAGATATATCACCTCGCTGGCATTGGATCTCCTAACCAAAGGCGCACTAACACCTGCCTAAAGGAACGGATGAAGCAGGCGACAGATGACAGACACATGCTACACGGATACTTACAACCCCACAAACGACTTATATCCCGACACAGCTTCCTCGATTCTGTCCCACCACCTGAACAGAATCCTCCACCATCAGTCAAGCCCGTACTCATCAAAGGTCTTAACCTGAAGTGGCCGGAGTGGCAATGCCTAAATCGAATGCGGACGAGAATGGGACGGTGTAAGGTCAATATGGCAAGATGGGGCTATGCCCATGAAGGAGATACTCTCTGCGACTGCGGAGAGACTCAGACGATGGACCACCTCTTGCAGTGCGGCGGAACGGGTTGCACAGATGAAGACCTGTCCCTTGTTAATGAAACGGCCATTGCAGCAATCGAGCGATGGAAGAACTTAATTTAATTTAATTTACTTCTAAGTTAAGGAACTTTACATTACTATCTTGATCTAAGGAGACACGAACGAACGAACTTCATTATTTTCAAAACATCAGAACCTCAACAAAAAATCATGCGCTGTAGAAGCTCTGACTCGCTTTCTTCTTTCTTAAGATTACTTCCTTTAAAATACAGTACAACTGACACTCATCCTTGAATGAAGTAATTATATTGTCTATTTGGAGCTAGATGGGTGTTAACTCATATGCTTAGTGTTAGGGTCCTTTTAGCTCTGATATGTTGACTCACCTCCACATCCAGCAAATACATCCAGGCATTTCAGTTTCTGGAAAGGATTATCGGTTGATTCTTTCTCTTCCTGCTTCTCCGTCTTTCCTTTGGCCTTGCCTTTACCTTTTCCTTTTCCCTGTGAAGATACCATAGCAGACAGTATTTCTTTAGAAACAGATCAAGAAGTAGTATCACTCAAGTAATGTCAAAATATTTTCACATGACGAAAAAAAAAAAAAAAATCGAAGACAAAACATCAATTTTACAGTAGATTAACAGAACTAAATATGTAGAAAATGAGATTCTCAGGAACTTATGAAAACATTTGAATAAATATGATTACTTAACCTTTTCCGTTTCAAATGAAACATTCATAAATGTGAAGAGGTGTTGCCTAAATAATGCCTAATTAGACCAATACCCAACAACTTTTTCCTAATATCCCATATCTGTATCTTGAAAGATCAATTATCACCCCTTCGGTACCATGGCAGCAAATCCCACTTGAGAATGTATAGGCCTGGATTAAAGATGAGTAGTTTTGCCTTGTCTCTGTGAAACAGAAATAGAATCTTACATTCTGGAAAATATCAATATGGGAGTAATTTTACAGGTATGCCTCCTGCAACAGCGAAACAAGAAACACAAATTCAGAATGAAACTTTTGAGGATCACTTATGAAAATTGTGTGGATACACAGTAGCACTGAAGAGGTTGAGCAATTTCGGTATCTAAAACTGTGATATTCTGTGCCAAACTTTTGCCTCATTGCAAGTTTATTCAGTGTGTCTAGCCCCCTCTCTCAGTATAATTATTAAGGTCTCAACTTGTAGATCACATCAACAGAATATTGTTACAAGGTTGAGCAATTTCTTTGCAAAAAAATGAGCAAGACCGTACCTTTCCTTTCATCCTGTTACTGCGTGATTTACTAGGAGGGTCTTCAAAACACTTCCTCTTGCTGTCATAGGCCTGATAAACATCAAAATAGAGATAGATGTCAATAAGCATTATTAATAATAAAGCTTTGAAATTCAGAAAAAAAGTTACTAATACAAACTAAAGAGAGTCCATTGCAAACTCCTAAATTGTGTACACCACTAGAATGTACAAGCACTGCAAAGTCACAATTTCTCAAACATATACTTTTGGGTTGAAAGAAAACCTCTAATAGACTAATTCTAAACATTTAGATAATAACAAATTCACTAAAATACTGGAAATGAACTAATTCACATCATGAACATTGTAGTTAGTTTTAATTCTAAACTAGAAGATAAAAGTTTACAGAGATTATTTGCACATAATTATGTAAATTTCACTCTGCATTTCCAAATTGTTAATCTGTATCAAATATTCAAAACCTAGTTTCTATATATTCACCTCTCTAAAATAGAACTTGTGAGGGCCTCCTGCACTGTACTCGTCTACACTGACATTGAGATCCTCTGCACAGACCACTGAACATTGACCCTGTACATCACTCAGCTCAACTATAGCCTCTGGTCATATGGACAGAAATGGGAAAGCATGCAGATTAACATCATAATTAAACAAGTATTATCAATGATAAATAGATTCTTATTTCCTTTACATCGTAGAAATAAAAAATAAATATCTATTAAAGAGAAGGTTGAGTTCTGGGAAGAGGTGAAAAATAATTTGCGAACTTTATCATTCTTATTATGCAAGTGTGGAAGAACATCAGGTAAGACATTTTCCCTGAAAAGCATGGCTCTTCAAATGCCTAATTCTTATTCTAAATATGTCATGTTCGTAAAACTCGGGGGGCCGGTTTTTTACGCCAAGTGTTCATGTAGTCCCATATACATCTTTCTGTGTACAGTGTTTGTAACTTTACCAAGACTTGGCCAAATTTCTTATCATTTTGATAATTCCAGAACCTTGCAATACACACAAATTCTTATATGCTAGATGATCAACCTTTTCTGGTCGATTCCACACCGTTTCTTTTACAATGCAATCGCATGACCAGAACTCAACTTCATCTTTAAGATATTTCATTGACATTAAAAGAGAAGGAACTTTCAGAAAGGAATAAGTGTTGGTATAAAAATGTGCAGACATATCAAAAGAGATCATTAAGTGTAGAAATGTATTATTAAAAAAAAAAGTAGAAAGACAAAGACATGTGTAGGCATGCAGCAATATCTGTATCTTTCAACACACACACAAGAGCGAATATGCTTTAGGGTCTTTTATTGCATGCAGCCCTTTTTGCACCCCTATTCATCATTCAATTATTTGACACTTGCTCTTGTGACAAATGATCAGTATTCCAAAACCGAACTTAGCAGCAAAGACTACCTCTCACTAACCATAACCGTAACCCTAGTTAGATCTAACTGAAACCTTACCCTCGCCCTATATCCTGGATGAAATAAAGCCCAGTGCAAATGTCCGGTCACAAATATGTCAGGTGACATCATGCACATCATATCATTGGTAGAGCAGTAGAGCACCTTTTCCACTCTAAATAAAAGTGTAAGATTCAAGTTACCAAGCAGTTTCCAACAGTATCCGGATACCTCCCTTCAACTTGGCACCAAACACTACATCTAATCATAACCCTAACCCTAATTTGATCTAAAAACCATATAAAGTGTGAATTCAATGAGTGCAGATGGTTTCCGATGTGAACATATTATTTATGAAGAATGATTTACCTTCTTCACTCCAGTATAGGACATTGAGGTCAGCTTGGTAAGCAGCTGTCCTGCCTTTGTGAGTATTCTCAGGCCGGTACAGCTTGTTGACCTGTAGCTTGACCTTAGAGTTGGACTTGGTTGTGTAGATGGCAACGATCTTACCGATCCGGAAGGGTTCGGGACACTCCAGGTTGCTGCCTTTGACGTACTCTGAATGTTTACGATAGTTCTCAGGGTACAGGTCCTCGTCCTATTTTGAAAGGTTTTAAAAAATATTACAGAAATATATAACCAAATCAAAAATGATTTCCTTAGCTTTGAAAAGCTCTGATTAATATTTATATAAGTTTGATATATTACCTTTCATTAAATTGAATGGCAATTATTCATAATGACAATGTATAGGGATTAATTACTTATTTTAATTTATCTATTTTTTAGTGGGGGGGGGGGGGGCGGCTCATATTGATTAAAAACATTACTGCATAAATATAACATTTTTTTACAGGTCCCTTGCTCTTAAATGAAAAGTTATCAAAATAGAAAGTATAGAATTTACAAAGAACTATATTATTTGTTAGATTAAATATCTGTAATGACACTATAATGCAATGTATCAAACATACCACATCTTTCTTTGATATTGGTTTCTTGGTAACAACTTTCTGTTTGATGTTGAACGAGAATGCTTCTGGGAGGAGGTAGACACCGTCACCAATCTGGAACTCATTACCCTTGAAGTGGCAGGAGCTAGTCAAACATGGAAACGTTATGAAAATTATGTGAATTTGTGGTAAAAGGTATGATGTATTCAATGTCACCATCCTCTTCACCCTCATGGACATCATCACTGTCATCACCACCATCATCACTGCCATCTTCATCATCATCATCATCATCATCATCATCATCATCATCATCATCATCATCATCATCATCATCATCATCGTCTTCATCATCATCACCACCATCATCATCTTCATCATCATCTTCATCACTACTATCATCATCATCATCATCATCACTGTCATCACCACCACCATCATCATCACTACTATCATCATCATCATCATCATCATCATCATCACCACCATCATCTTCATCATCATCACTACTATCATCATCATCATCACTGTCATCACCACCACAATCACTGCCATCTTCATTTTCATCATCATCATCACCATCACTACTATCATCATCATCATCATCATCATCACCACCGCCACCACCACTACCAACATCACTGTCATCAACACCACCATAACTGCCATCATCATCACCATTATCATCATTACTGTCGTCACCACCGCCATCACCACCACCACCACCATCACTGTCATCACCACCACCATCACTGCCAGCAGCAGCAGCATAATCAACCATAGCAACTATCATGTTTTAGCTACCTGTATGTAATCCTGGAGGAATCCTCTTGATCTTCCAACTTGGTACCTGGTCTTGGGCTTTCTTTCTGCAAAAGAAGAATGCATAACAGATCGAGTCAAATGAATTTGAATACTTGTATAAACAAATATTTTCTAACAAAATAATGGAGGCTCTGTCATTTAAAGAGAAGGCTGATTTCTGGGAAGGTGAAAAATAATTTGTGAGCATTATCATTGTTATTATGCAAGTGTGGAAGAAGATCAGAGAAAAAAATCTTCCCTGAAAGCATGGCTCTTCAAATGCCTTTATATTTTAAATATGACAGCAGCTTAAAAATGAGGCCAGATTTTTACGTCACATATTTCTGTAATCCCACATACATCTTTCTGTGTACAGGGCTTGTTACTTTACCAAGACTGGGCCAAATTTCTTAACAGTTTGATGACTCCAGAACCTTGCAGTACACACTAATATGATCGATTCCACACCCGTTTCTTTCACAATGCAATCGCATGACCAGAACTTTTACTTCAGCAGAGTAACATGCAGGCAAGGAAAAATGTAGATCATGACCCAAGTTATTTTCATTATTTCCATTTTACATCTCTTTCAGATGTGTCTACATCAAACAGAGAGACAGGATCAGACTGACTCTCTTGATTAAAACCCTGTGCAGATTATAAGCAACCTAACTAAACATACCAAGACAAATAACATGTGCAAATGAATGGCAAGAAGCAATTCTTTACAATAAAATAGTTGTATGCAACCATGGCCCATGTACATACCTTTTGATTTGCAGACACGTAAAGTGCACTACACGTCACTGATTCTATTGTGCTGTGATGGGTTTTTGAAGTGGTTTATCTCATATATCTTAACTGGGCTTTACTGTTAATTGCATCTGGTATAAAGCTCTCTTCTCTCACCTCTTGTATTCTCTCCATCTTGAGGCAGCAGCTGCAGAAGCGATGAGCAGGAACATCGTCAGGTCTGCTCAGAAGCTCATAGTCCTCAAACCGAGCAAGGTCAGGATCGTACCACTTCTGGTAGAAAAATGTCTTCCCATCATCCTCCTTGATGACATGGTCTGTCTCAGGGTCATCAATGCCGCCTAACATGGACCAATCGGGTGAGGGGGCTTTGTAGATGACGGAGCAATTGTCATTGACGGAGGCAAGGTAGGTGTCTTGACATTCATCAATGGGGAACAGTTCAAGAGGGTCGGATGCTTCTCCCAAAACAGTTTCTGAGCCATATCTAGAGAAATAAAATGAGAGATCAACATGTGTGAGTATTGCAGATATGATATGATAGTAAGTGTTACACAGCCAATCAACATAGGATTGCAATGTAATCATAACATGTAAAAACATTTAGTAGTTTTAAAAGTATGAACTGCAACTGTGTGTCCTTCACGAGCTATGTCAAACATTTCCTTCCTATCAATGACAACATGCAAGGAACCTAAAACATTTATACTTTCAAAATTCCACATTAAATTTGTTTTTTATTATTGCGATATAAAAAAAACATTGTACATGGCAGCCTAGCAGCTGAATTGAGTACAACTTACATTAATAATAACACAAGAATACTGTGCAAACGACAAAGTCATTAAAAATAGTACATTCATAGCAAAATCCAGTCATAATCCTCTGGCATTCATCTTCATTTTATCACTCTCAACTAAGGTGACGTGATGATACAGAAGAAGAAATTCCTTGAATGCTTTATCATAGAAGCTAAGGGTTCTAAACATATCATATAATTTTTCGAAATTCCACAATCATTACAGGAGGCATTTTACACTCTCAAAAGCCAACATAAAAAATTATCGAGTGCACATGCTATTTGGACAAGAGACAAAAATCCTTTTGGAACCAACAAAATATCTGGGAACCCTGTAGCTTGACTATAGCCTAGTTAATAAAATATTCAGAACTTTGTATCTTAAGGACATCCAACTATTATTGATCAGGTTGAAGGTGTATGGTGCTCTTGAAACATCTCGCAAACAGACAAATAAGAAATAAGGCTATTTGGCCTAACTCACACAAACCACTGTGCATGGAACATCATTTCTCCATCGCTATCCTGCCACATGTAAATCACCCTTGCGATGAAGAGAGGTTTGGTTGGATCATCGGGATGAATCTGAACACAATCCCCATTCTCAATCTAAAGATGGCGGCAACAAACAAAGAGCAGGAAATTATTAACACCCTTCCCAAGTTTTGTAACTTTTTAAGTATGTAAACAATTGATTTGTCCCCATTTACGTTTCTTGAGAATGTCGAATTTTGAAGCTTAAATCTAAAAGTATTCAACAAAGGCCCTAATTCAACCAGTCCATCTTTAATTCTTGAGCTATGAAAAAAACAAAAAATATCAAATTTAAAAGTGAGTGGTATAAATAATTCAGTTGTTAACTTTAAGTTTCTCTGAAGGATACAAGGCTATTTCTTACCTGTTGACTTTACCAAAAGAATTTTTTTCCTAGACTTTATTCAACTTTTTAAAATTACAAACTTTGTGGTATAAATTTGACTGATGGTATACACAGGACTGTAGGAGAGCAAGAGAAAAGTGACTTGTTTCTGACTAAATTGGTTTCTTTGTTGCATACTGTCTGTCATGACTGGATTGCATCAGTTGTATTGAGAATGTTCACAGTGAAAAAGTTATTCTCTACCCATACCAAGATACCTCTACTTAACTAGTAGAGCCCATTAAAACGTAAACATTGACCAAAAAGAAAGATCTAAGCTAACCTTCTGATCGTCAATCATGGCTGCCTTGTAGAACGCACGGTCTTTGGTCACCTCTTCTGGCTCACCGATCCATGTAACCTTGGCCTGATGGGATATGAAGGATACAAGTTTGTTACCATGGACATTGAAAGCTAGAATATTTCTGAAACTCATGGAAAATGTCATTTTATCAGTCAGTCTACCGATTTGTATTGAGAAAGATTGACAATGATAAAAACCATCATCTTTACTCATATACGTTCTTGCATTCTTCCGTAGAGCTTGTGTACAATGAAACCTGCCTTTGCATCCCTGTGTATATGAAGACCCCCGATCTACAAAACTAAACGGATCTTCGACCGTGCACAGAATATAGTGATTACAAGCTAATCTTCATATACATGTATGACCCTTTGATCTTTAACCTCATGACCCAAAATTTCAACCAGTTCATTGGCTCTGCAAGATACATACATGTTGGGACCACTGGTGCACTTTTTGATCCATTAGTTGAACAACAAAGCAGGCTAAGATTTGTTTGTTTGTTTGATGATGATTGTTTTACCTGACTGCTAAGAAAGCATGTATATGCTTGTAAGAAAACAACCAGGGGATCGAGGGCTTAAAGTCCTCTTCGATGGACTTGGTAATGAGGATTAATGCCTTACCAAAGGGCATGAGCACATTGACTTGGTTTCAAACATGGGACCTCCCAGTTACAAGACCACTGCTCTTCCACTGAGCCTCCTCATATGAAAATGAAAGCTACCACAGGGGAAAGGAACCAGACTTCAAACAGCACTGTTTTAGTTTTCCATGAGCAGTCTTTAATACAAGTCTGTGGTCGTGGTTGAGTGGTTAAAGGCGCTTGACTGGAGATGCGAAGGCCGAGGGTTTGAATCCCGACACGGCACTAATATCCTTTGGCAAGATATTAACCTGCACTTGCTACTCTCCACCCAGGTGTTAAATGGGTACCCGGTAGGATGCGACCATCATTGTTGGTCAAACAGTTTTTGAGCGTCAAGTAACGCCTGGCTGGAATGCTCCCCAGGGAGTGGAGATTGTGCACACAGTGTGTGCGGGCAAGCACTGAATCCAATGACCAGGGTAATAGTATATTTGTAAAGCGCTTAGAGACATTTGTATTAAGCGCTATTTAAAAGCTAAATATTATTATTATTATTATTATTATGAAACAGAATGTTTGTTATTTACCCTTTTCTTCTTCTTGAGTGGGGATCCTAGCTTGCGACCCTTCTTGGTTTTCTTGTCATCCCTGTTCCCATTCTTATTAGAATCATCCATCTCATCAAAGTCATTCTCATCAGCCTCCTGCACGGCCATGTTGGGACACCTGTCATGTTGCAAAAGAAAAGAATAAAGTATAGATAATGTCTTTCAATCATAGCAAGGCACCTGCTAGATTGTGTCTTGCCCACATATGACCAACTTATATTAATGCTCCCAAAGGGCATCCCTGATCACAAGTTAGATTACACTTGGAACTGCAAAATTACCTTTTACCGAGAGATTACATAGGAATTAGTGATTGCAAAAAAGTTTTATTTGTGATCATGTGCGACAAGAATGTCTTTTAGTTAACTTTAACATATGATCACAAATGACCTTTGACCTTAGCATGTGACCCTTGACAGTACCATAGTGTTGCGTTCCCCATAGCTGATGGGGGTTCGGTAGTCTGCAAGCACAGACTCTTCTTTGGCAGCTTACCACTATTTACAAAGCCTTGAGCAAAGTCTAGATTTGTTAGTTTCTGGCTTTGTCAAACAAGAATAGTGCAAACACTATTATGCACAATGAAAGACTGCAAAATAGGGGTTGGGGGACTTGAAAATGATCAGTACTTCCATGGTTATAACAATTTGGGATCAATAAAATTGATGTTCTATGTTTTTTAAATGACAAAAACCCAAAGCTATCAATATTTGTAGCACTACACCATGACCCTGTTGCACAAAACTTCCCATTGATGGTAACTACCATGGAAACCTTGATTTTGATTGGCTGTTGAGCCCTGTTACCATGGTAGTTGCCATTAATGGCAAAGTTACCATCAATGGTAAGTTTTATGCAACGGGCCCATGTCTCAAATATTGTAAAAGAGACAAAGAGAGAGCGAGCGAGAGAGAGAGAGAGAGAGAACCAAAATACATTATACGCAAATCAAAAGAACCATGTTGGACTTACCTCCTCTCCTTGCAAGCTTGCTTAGCTTTGCCGCTTCCACCGAATTTGATCATGCCCTTGCAAGCAGTACACTTGCCACAATCTGGTGCTTGGCATACCTAGTGAAATTAAATTCATTGTTCATGATTAGGATACATAGCATTTTTAAATGTATATACATGTACACTGTAGAAGCATTTCTTTCAAACACATGCAGCCCGTCCTTTAATTTTTGTCAGCCCTTATATTAACATGCACAGTGTTATAATGAAGGGCATAAGCAACATTTGGTAGAGGGAAAAAGCCTGCCAAATACTGATTGAATCCTTATTTTAAAAAAAGAATAAGACTACACAAGTGACCAAAAATATCATATTTCTATTACTTTTGAATTTTCGAGGGGGAGACTGTGGCAAAAGATTAACCTGTTAAAATTGATGTTACACAGGACCACATGAAATGAACATCAACATCCAACCCAACAGCATAGGAAATTGGAAGATAAATAGAGAAGATTTGAAGGGTATTACCTCACAAACTCCACATCGCTTCTTTCTCTCGTTTGCAGCTGCCTTCATCTCATCTGCGATCTGATCCTTGAAGATTGCGTCAAAGATATGACTCACAAGGGGTGTGACAGTCGCCATGGTAAAGACTGGTTTCTTGTCTTTCTTGACTGCTGCGGCTTTCCTGGTAGCACGCCTGGTAGAAGCAGAAGAAAAAAATAGTTCAATATAAAAAATAAGGAGCCCCATTATTATTTACATGTAAGAGATATATTAATTTACTTTCAACACATTTAAATTGGGTTCAGTCCAAGTTGCGTGTGACATAACATTTAATGGCTTACAGACCTGACGGAAGTTAAAAATTATATAGATGAATTTATATCACAGAAAGCTTATAAGCCACAGTTTACTAATATATCAATTATATGCTATTTTAGTGTCTGTCAGACAATTAACAGCTCTCTGAAAACTTATCTAAAGATTAGAAAATCAGAAGTTGTCAACCTAAAACTAAATTTCGTCTTGATGACATCATATGGCGTACGCATATTCACGATGTCTCTCTATCTATTAAGCACGGCTCATTGTGTCAGCTATATAGTTGAGCCGATCAGGTCCTCATGTTATGAGGTCAATGTAACTGCAGTTAATTTTACCCCTGTTGACCCGTAATTTGAAGGGGTGTGAATAAATGTGGTTTTAATTGCATTTTTGTGCAATACTGAAGGGGAAAATATTGTTTAATCCCTAATATTTGTATTACAATCCAGGTTTTCGACATATCATTTTCTTTGAAAGTAGTTTCACAAAATGCCCAATTATTCTATTGAGAGCAGCCATTCAGAAGTGCCCCTCTGAAAGATGAAAACAAAAAAATTTTAATGGTAGAATTGAAGAGGCGTTGAGAGTAATATTAATCGACTACGAGGATATTTGTTTTATATCCCACATCGGCAATAAGGTCTATTTAAAGTGAATTTTACATAATTAAAAGAACTGATTTTGCAGACAGTTTAGCTTCAGCTAGATTTTACAAAGCACAACATGCATACATGTAATAAAGTTGATGTGCACTCATTTGACATTGACATTCACATTTCGCGTAACCTACTTTGCTTTGCTTATTCAATGGGCAAGTGGGGTAGCAGCAAAAAATTATGGTACAAAAGTCCTATCGCAGGGAGATAGTACTTATCTATCATTGATCATGTGACCTCGTTTAGACCAATCAGATTGCAAGATTCTTAGTATGCGGAATATAATTTGCTATATCCTACCTCTTGCCGAGGGTAACACCTGCCAGCTTGATGAGGTCCCTCATACAGGGCATGGTGATGAGAAGCACCTCATCAAGGTCTGCTGCTTCATCATAGCTCTCTACCTGCTCAACAACAAACTGTGCATGGCGCAGGAGAGTGTCTTCCGTGAAGCGATTGCATCCCTCCGGTGGTACGGTTGTCTGCATAGATGGTATGACAATGTTAAAACTTGATAATATGTACAGACTAATAGCTCATTGTTATACATGTGATACGGCCAAATATGCAGTGGTAAGATGACTTTCTTCATGATTCAGGGTTTTATTTTTATAATCATTGCAATGAGTAAATTCCTCTCAAATAGAGTTCGAAACATGTTTTCTTCCATCATTAAGTTTGAAAGGCAGTAAGAGTTAATGATTAAGGTTATGTTCTGATAATCACATAAAACAACTTTATTTCTATTAAATCTAGGAATAGCATTGCATTATAGCATCTACAGGATGCCACATCACTCTTGCATTTTGGGATAGTGTATTTGGGTACAATCATCTTATGGCATCTTGAGACATCATTTTGGGATAGATTTTTTTTTTAAAGCATTTGAAATGCTGGCATACCGGTAAAGTAATTATGACAGAACTTTAGACAAACATCTTGGAATATCGTCCGACCCTATAGATTCAACTAGATTTTCTCAGACCCTGTCTAATACCATGTTGGGATGACATGACTAACCTGGATTTGACTGAGAAGATCTTCATACACAGCATCCTGGGTGCTCTGAAGAAACTCAATCAGTATCTTACTCATATAGATCTTCTCCTGAACGGCCGTCCAGAATGGCTTGTACTCTTCGCTAGGACTCATCACAATGTATTCCGCAAAGGCTGCCATGAGAAAAACAAAACATACATTTATGGATCCTTACGATCTGACCCATACCAAATTGGAGTATCTTATTGAAATTCTTTGGATTAATCAACAAATAATTATTTGATTTCTAGACAGTAGATCGATGTGACCATTTGACTTGATTATTTTACATGATATTGACTCTCTCTCTCTCTCTCTCTCTCCCTCTGCCCCTCCCCGTATCTCTCTCTCTCTCTCTCTCATTTACACTTGTAATGTACCTCAGTCACTAACCCTCCTCATGCTTCACACCAATCACATTTGTTTTGCCATTCAGAGCAACGTAATTGTTTGTGTGGTCTATCATTGCTCTGTTTGTCTCTTTGTTTTGACCAGAGGTAACAAGGGCCTTTTCTCCACCATCGTAGCCAGTGGTATACCACTCATTGATCAGACCGATCGTCTTCATTGGGTTACCACGGTACTCCTTGCCCCCATCCCCCTTATTTACATTTCTTCCTGTCTCTCCCCTCTTTTTCCTCCTCACTATCTTTCTAGATCTCTTGAGAGATACTCATCCTCTTACCTGTGCTGAATCCAATGAGGGCCTTTTCTCCTCCATCGAAGCCTGTGGTAAACCACTCATTGATTGGACCCATCCTCTTGGTCGGGATACCACCTGCATCGTAACCATGGAGATAAAAGTTTACAAACATCAATAATATACTTCTTGTATATTTTTGTGCTGACATTTAAGAATAAGTTTATGAGCAATTATAACACACCCACACACACACACACATAAGGCAAAAAGTGTTACATACTATATTTGCAATGAGAAGATGAATTAAGTACATTGTAGGACAGAAAGTCACAGGGAAATTGTTGAATATTTAGAAATTGAGGACTAGGGAGAGAAACTTTTATTGGAAGAATAAGATTAGGAATATGGCAATGATAAGAGAGATGAGGAGAGACAAATGAATGATGGGGAATAATATAAAAGATGAAGTAATAGAGAATCAAACAACAAAGGAAAAGAAGAATTCAGTAATGTAAAATTCAAAGGGATGAATCAGAAAATAATATATAATCTTACCTTCAATGCTTGAGTTTTCATCATAGATTGGTTTGACGTATCCACTGAAATACAGCTCTTTGTTCTTCTCTATTAATCCACTGTCAAACGCACAGAGGTGAGTGCTCTTATCGTAGACACTGCAGTAGCAATTGATAGACATTGCAAGTTATGATTTCACGTTAAGACTTCTGAGTTTTCATACTTCCGAAATGTGTAACAAGTGTGTCAAGACTTTACAACTATTGAATTTGAAAGAGTGGAAATGAGGAGTTATAGGATTCATGAGGTGAGCTCTGTCAATCGACTTCTGTCAGGCAAACAACAACTGAGAATCAACAATTACTTTATCTGTGCCGCCTAATTTTAACTGTCTCAAAACACAATTTCCAGTAGTAATATAGGTTCCAATCCTATAAAAAAACAAAGTCAACTTGAATCTTCAATCAACTTTAATAAATAAATAAATAATATGGTTATTTATATAGCGCCGGTATCCGCCAGGTTCTGACGCTCATGGCGCTTTACACATATTACCCTGGTCGTAGCCGAGCTGCCAAAGTAATATGAGATAACTAAATAAGTGCAAATCTCAAATTTCCAATTCAGTCCTTGGAATGTGATGTAGACAAAACCTATCATTAATTTCTGTTTTTTTCCTAAGTGCCTTCTCGCTTTGGGCACTAGTCAAACTATATTATGGAAAGCATATTATTATAGGTCCTCTAAAGAGAAAAGACCATCCTGAGTCATACATTTGTGAAAAATTAAAATTTGGTCATTTAATGTGTTGGAACAAATGGAAAGGTCATTTGCCACTTCATCACAGAGAGATTACTGAGCTGAATCTTCAATCTGAAGAGCCCATTCGTATAGTGATGCAACTTTTTTTTTGTCTTATTCAATTCAAACTTTCACAAGCTTTTCTTCTAGAGTAGTTTGCTATCAAGGTTTGCTTTCCCTTTTATCTCAACTGACCTGAAGTTGGTTATCTTGAATTGCAGTCTCTCATCATAGCTCATAGTGTCTTCCTCATCACCAGTCAATAAGGAGAGTCTGGGGTCGGTCAGGGTGATATACTCCTCCCTCTGCAACATAGCATGGTAATATCATTTCTCAGTCTATACAACCCTATTGATAATAATTCATCACATCAGATTCAAACACTTTGTTTTATCATAAAAATACATCCCTTAACTGAGTCAGAAACACATGTTTGAAATACAATATGATGACCCCTATTCACTCGTCTTATTTAAAAAAATTAAGTTTTCAAGTGAAAAAGAGGTTCATACAACAAGATTTCCAATAATTCAATGACTACAGTCAACGTTTTAAACTAATAGACTTGTAGTTTACAGGCACATGATAAGAAATGAAATGAAAATTTCATCCCCTATTTGTCCCCAATGTAATTTTACTCCAAAGTATGATTGTTACAAATTTACATTTTCTAAAATAAATAAGAAATAAACTGCATTTCATACAGATACTCAAATAATAATTTTTTACAATTCATAAAAAAAAGGAATGCACAATTGGAAGGTGAGGTTTGGACTTACAGCATCATCAGGGTCTCCTGGAAAGAGCTTGAGATCAGGGTCATCTAGTGGCTGCCTGCATTCCTTACAACGAACAGGAGGTTGCTATGGAAACAAACAGAAGAGAAATGAAAATGTACAAGATATCTTGTAGGGGATAGCATTCTTGGTATATTTATTCAAGTAAAAGTCATTTGGATCCCTTAGTCTCGCCTCCACCTTCGATGGGATAGACAAACATCAACTTAACCTTAAAGATGAAGTTGAGTTCTGGTCATGCGATTGCATTGTGAAAAAAACGGTGTGGAACTGACCAGAAAAGGTTGATCATCTAGCATATAAGAATTTGTGTGTATTGCAAGGCTCTGGAATCATCAAAATGATAAGAAATTTGGCCAAGTCTTAGTAAAGTTACAAACACTGTACACAGAAAGATGTATATGGGACTACACGAACACGTGGCGTAAAAAGCCGCCCCCCCCCCCCCCCCGATTTTTACGATGTTACATGCATATTTAAAATATGAAGGCATTTGAAGAGCCATGCTTTTCAGGGAACATGTCTTAACTGATGTTCTTCCACACTTGCATAATAAGAATGAGTAATGCTCACAAATTATTTTTCACCTCTTCCCAGAACTCAACCTTCTCTTTAAGAAATTCATCAGGCACAAAATATATGTGTCCTACCATCATAATCATCATCACAATAATCCACATCATCAACATCCTCATTAACATCACCAACATCCTCATTAACATCACCAACATCCTCATTAACATCACCAACATCCTCATTAACATCACCAACATCCTCATTAACATCACCAACATCCTCATTAACATCATCAACATCCTCATTAACATCATCAACATCCTCATTAACATCATCAACATCCTCATTAACATCACCAATATCATCACTACAGATACATGTATCCTAAAGAAAGTTTTTTTTTTGTGGAACAGCAAATTTGATGAAAGAAATAACAAAGTTAAGATGTCATGATACTAAACTATAGGATGAATTAAACAAGACTGATGACTTGCTAATAACATTTGGCATAACAGTAAAAATTAAAGGATAGAATTATATTTGGTTACCTTGGTAACTGCCTTTACAGCAAAACTTGTCTCGTTATTGGATCTTTGCCGTAGGTCTCTCCTTCATGAAAGAAAATTTAACATTTTAACAACTCGTACAATGTTAAAATTAAAGGATATAAATGAATAGCAAAGGAAACAACTTCATCAGTTAATAATTGAAACACTGAATGTAAGAAACCATTATGACAAGTGTTAAAGTTGCTGAAGTTCAAAATTCATTCTATTAAACATCAATCACGAATTCCCATGTCACATGAAGCCCTATTCTTGAAGTAATTACATACTGTCCTATATATGGACAATCTATTAAGACAATCTCTCAATTGATAAACTCCCCTGGAAAACTACCCAAATGAATATGATTATCCTGTCAACATATTTCTTTTCACTTTTATATACTTTGTTCGTTGTTTGTTTGTTATATATGACTGCTAAGTGCTTGTAAGTAAGCAACCATGGGACCGACAGCTTTATGTCTTCTCTGGTAATGAGGAATAATGCCTTACCAAAGGGCACTAGCATTTTGACTTGGTTTCGAGCTGGAACCTTCTGGTTACGAGACCACTGCTCTACCACTGGGGGGGGGGGGGTAGGGTTGATGATAGTCATATATTATATATATTCTTTATCTCAACTTACGACGGTGACATTGGTTCATCGTTAGCTTTCTCTTCCTCTTCCTCCTCTTTTTTTATCCTCTTCCCTCCTGGTCCACTTGGCTCCTCCTCCTCCTCTTCTTTCTTTCCATCATCTCCATTCTCCATCTTTGTTTCATTCTCATCTACTGAGGATAAAGACTCTTCTACCTTCTCCTCCTCCTTCTTTGCTGGTCTGCAGTAAATAATATTTGTAGTTATATCAGCTCAAACAACACTTGTTTTCACTTGTCATTATACAAATGTTTGCTCATTTGAAATATTTCCTTGCATAATTCTGTAAACAAGTGGGGCGATTTATACAGTGCAAACACTTCCATGACAAAGAACTTTCTTGGCATTCATTTTAAATTTTTAGGAAGAATAAAAAAGCCTACATTCTTTGTTACTGTTTCTTCAGGTCTTAGAAAAGTTCTTAACATATCAAATGTGCAAGCCTAATATATTGATATAATAGTCTGCATTCTTGATTTTTTAAAAATCTGTACATCATGACAACAATAACCTCATCATTTTACATGAAGTGCCTTTAATTTTATGTAAGGATAGTTCTCAGATTGGCACTAATCCATGTCATGTATGTGTATCTGAGATGTCTCATTCTCAATCTTGATGTAGGTCTGTACAATTGTGAAATCTTACTTTTTGGTAAACATTGACATAATGCTGGGTTGCTTTGCATCCACTTTGGGTGATCTCTTCCTCTTGCTAGATCTTGGCGTGTTTGCATCTGGTGTTGTTTTACCGGCACTCTCCTCCTCCTTCTCCTCCTCTTCCACCTCTTTATTTTCTTCTCTTCCCTTCTTTTCCTCTTCTTCCCGGTCACTGTCTCCTAAAACCTTTCTCTTGCTTCCTTTCCCTCCTTCACTACCCCCGGGACTTCCTTTCTTTTTCTTTTTCTTGGAATCTCCCTTTCCGGAAGTGGGAGTGTCCGTCTCCATACGTTCCTCAGATTGGCTACTGCCATTCCCCTCCTGATCTGAAGCACGAACATGACTGCCATTTGAATGTCCGTTGGCTTTGCAGGGGTCACCTGAGCCATTAGAGGAGATGGAGCTGGAGCCGTTTTTCACAGTGGACTGAGTATCCTTGTTAAGTTTCTTTTTGGAGCTGTTTTCTTGCTGGATGTCCCCATTGCTGATGGGGGTGCAGGTATCAAGAAACTTTGCCAAGATAGACTTCACTTTGTTCACATACCCTTTCTGAAAACAAAGCAGAGATCAAGAATTTTCATGCAGGTATCGAGAAACTTTGCCAAGATAGACTTCACTTTGTTCACATACCCTTTCTGAAAACAAAGCAGAGATCAAGAATTTTCATCTAAAAGGCTCATGATTATACAATGCATAAAATAAATACATTAACCCACTGACTTCTGTATTCTTTCATTCCCAAAGGCTTAAAACAGAAGCCATCTGGTTCCCATGGTAATGGCTTAATCAATGAAGAAATCTGTAATGACCATTCTAAAAATCAACATGTTACTTGGACAGGTCCAGCGAGGTAGATCTACACTGTATGTACATGTATAATAACAATACTATTGGATATTTCCATAGTGCACATGTTCACCACGTAAGTTGCTCAAGGTGCTCCAATATTAGCCCAGCTCTGTTAGGCTACAGTTTCTAGGGGTCACATCATTCAAAGAATTCCTTCCTGGACAGTGGTTAATGTAGTTCAATGTCTTGCACAAGTACATTAGTGCCTCAGGGGGACTGGAACCGTGTGATCCAAAGTCCAATGACATATGATACACAACTACACAAGAACTTCTCAATTATCATCTCTCTATTATTTCACTTTAATTCAAGGTCACACTTTAAGTCAAGGTGACACTTTAAGTCAAGGTTACACTTTAGGTCAAGGTCACACTTGATATATGACAGGATGGGCATGAATAAAAAATATTATTACCCGTATCAGACATCTGAGCTGGTCATTTACAAAACCGTATTGCCCTAGTTTTCACTAGCAGTGGGAACGAAGGGGTATATTCTTTGTATTTTCCTTGGTCTCCCTGCTCGTATAGACTTTGCGTGTAGAGACGAGTGAAAATATACCTTTGTATTTTCCACGGTCTCGCATCCGGGCCATATTTTGTCATTTTCATTGCGCATCTATTATGCACTCTATTGTGACGTAATAATCACACCAAATGCACACTGTTTGCAGTGTATCGAAAATTTCGTCAAGCACTGGATGCACAGTGCTGGTTTGACAAAGCTTGTTCAGTTCTTTGAGATTGTCATGGTGGATTTCTGTATTTGCTCTAGATGTCTGATTTGGATAACAATAAAAATATTGACTGACTTTACTTTCGGGGGATATCAGAAATATTTACCGCGCTAAGACCATATTGCCCTCGTCTTTCGACTCGGGGCAATATGATCTGAGCTTGGTCAATATTTCTGATATACCCCTCAAGGCCAGTCAATATTATATAATTATATATTACCTCTGTCAATTCTTCATCCTTAAGCTCGTCTTCTAGTCCCTTCAACCTTAAAAAACAAAAACAAAAACAATATGAAACACAATGACAAAAGCATGTACCGTCCATGTACTGACATGTCAATTGATCTATATGACCTTTATTTGACCTTTGACCTGACAATCCCAAAATGTGATCACTTGTCTACATACATAGTAGCTACAGTTTAAAAGTTCACAGCTATTATGGCCTAAAATAGTAATTGATTTGGTGGTGACAAGGTTTTAAAAAAAACACCTTTAATTTTATGTAAATTCACTTGCTAACCTTTGAGATCTGACCTTCTTTTAGCCAAAATCTAATCAATTTATCTCACTAAGGTGACGCACACTAATATCAAGTTTGAAGTTCATGGATTAAAGTGCCTGTTCAAAGAAAATCACAAATATGGCAAATAACATATCACTACAAACTGGTGAGCTAACAGATGGCCATCGTACAAGTTTTAGGTCAACTACATATCGGGTGATTTAAAAAATACAAATAAAAACACCTCCATAGCATCTAGGATATACGAGCGATTCGCCAGAAAAATAACAATATTTAATGACGTCACAATATGAACCAATCCTGCCCAAGAAAACGACATCCCACAAAGAATGAACATAATTACAATGCTATTATTTCTCAAATTATAACAAGTTTAGTGTATATAAATGTGATGGCATTTTACACCATTCAAAAAGGGATATGAAACCGATTCTGATAACTAAATTCTTTTGTTTGTAAATACACAGGATCAAAGAACACTACCAAATTGAACAACCCCCAGGAATTATAGCATGAACAGCATTTGTTCCCTCTTGAAACGCCGAAAATATTGAGGTGTATGCAGCTGAAAATACAATGGCGTCTTATTTTGTTTACAAGCGACAGATTCCTTAATTTTTTATCAATGCATTTTTCATCAAAATAATACCATGCACGGGTTTAGAGTGAGGCAATAGATTAAACATTTAGCCTGACGGTAGTGAAGTAAAATAAAATAATAACTGAAGAGAAGATGATAAAACAGGCACTGAAAATGAGTGAGATGTTATGGGACATCGTCTGTTTGTGCGAATCATGTTCAACATGTGATGTCACACATCTCAGCAGCATTCGGAGAGCTGTTCAGGTGCTTATGCCGGGCTGTTTTGTAATTGATAATAATCATTACTTTGAATGATTCCAAGCATTGAAATTTGATAAAATTGTCTAATCAAAGTTTCACTTTTGCAATAATGACAATAAAGCTAGTTATTAAAATCAATGAACCTTGTCTTTAGATATGAAGGAGGGTTAAATAAATGTATGAAGTAGGCATAAAACAGGTCTACGTTCCACAGGACACATTGCATAGATCCACACATCAATGCTTATTCTTGATTTCAGTGATTGGCAATACGGTAGAAAGAGAGTTAATGACTCACGTTGTCTGCATGTCTGATGACATGTGTTCAAAAAGCATCTTGCTCTTCTTCTTGATATACCCCTAGAGAGAAATCAATAATATAAATCAATTTGCAACTATTGTATGATGGTAAAGACCCTATCCAATGAAAATACAGCTTTATATCAATGGAAAGCTGGATGGACATAGAAATCAAATAGAAAGGAATATAAAATATTTTCCCTATTCTGGTATTGCACAAAAGCAACAGGTCAAAAGAGGTCAATTTTGCCAGTTATGGTGACGACATAACATGTGAATCCAATCCGCTCGCCTATATAGCTGGGGTGATAAGCCATACTCGGTTAATTTAAAGTCAATGTCCTCTGACTGACACTAAATAAAATATAATTGATATTACTGTATGATTTATAAGCTTTCCATTGATTTAGAACTCATTTTTCATGCCAGACAGGGTCTTTAAATGTTTTGGAGATTTACCTTAAACATTTCCCAAGTGGAGGGAAATTATATTTTCATTATCTTGAAAGCTTTGTTTGTCAGAACATCAACATAAAACATACAAAAAATATGTGGAGGGACATTTTGGCCTTTGTCCATGCAACAGCATCTTTGCCATATATCTTGAATTCAATTCTATCTTCTATGGTAAATTAAACATTTTTTCCCAAACTGGAACTGTACGTAAGCATGTTTCCTTATCTCCCTTACTTTTATCTGTAAACCTTACTGATACATGGGAAAGCACATTAAAAAACTAAATAAATTTATACATGAATGGAGTCACAGAATAGCCAGCCTGCACTCAATGTTGAATGGAATGTATAAGTTATAATGGAATATGATTGGTACTACAATATCGAAAAATGGCAACGAAAACAGACATAGTGAAAGCTTTTCATCTTGCCCTCATCGGAGTAAATTGCAAGCATGAACAGAAAGCCCAAATTAAACAATATTAGCAGAAGATAAATGAACAAGTGCGCCAAAAAAGTTTATATCATTAAGCATAGTCACAATTTTTGTAACAGCAAATTTCATAAGAAAATCAATCTGATCGTGTGCAGCCAACCACAACTTATTGATTTTTTTCACACATTTGTTAGCTTTCGCTTGTATCGTCTGATTTTGTGACTCCATTCATGTATCAATTTATTTTGTTTTTGAATATGCTTTCCCATATATCAGTAAGGTTTACAGATAAAAGTAAGGGAGATAAAGAGGGGCAAGACAAAAGGCTGTATTATGTCAGTTTTTGTTGCTATTTTTCTAAATCACATACCGGTATATAGTTTTGAATCATTTAAGTGAATTAAAATTTAAGTGTAACAAATTGGTTTGATCTCCTTACCTTCTCTGTAATGAGTCCATCATTCAGATCTCCTTCAAGTTCTTGTACCCTGTAGAAAGAATGGAAACAGACAAATGTTTGGAGATAGATCTACCGTAATACATTTAAGTCTAAATCTTGTCTTTCTAATTTCAAGTTTGCAAGATTGCAATCTAACATGGTACAAAAAAGTCAGAGTCAAAGAGGACAGGGATCACCTCATTGGGACATCACATTCTGTCCTGATTTCCTTCCCACAATTCAATCTGGCAGTGTCCGAGGCTTTTATCTCTGCAATTAGAGGTTTACTGTGACCTATTTATGGTTAGATATGGTTGACTTCTGGACGCAGGTTGACATGCCTTTATGTCCAGATCCTAGTTAATTGGTAGTACTCTGGCAGTATTTAGGGGGGCTGCTCTATAATTGTACTACATGTAATATTCATGATTTTGCCAATGCCTATCCAGCCTATTTTCCAACTAAAAGACAGTATCAGCCTCCACAACTGACAAAGACATTACTATGAATATCTTTGTCTGCTTTATCCATTACCCATAGCGCTTGTGTAGTTGTGGTACTAAGCTAAAAAAAAAGAGTCATGCTAGAATCGTATATTTTGAGCATTTTTAAAGTCTCAATCATATTAGCACAAGCTTGTCTATAACTGGTGTAGGCAACTTTAGTCTATGTTGTGTACATGTAGTCTCTCTTCATAACCGGTATAACCAAGCCCTTCTAAGGAAGGAACAGACCTATACTATAGTGGCCCTCCCTCATATATTCTCCAAGGCATCAATATGCTTGTATTTACAAGGGTACCAAATTAATTCATTGAACATGAGTATATAGCCTTAGACCATGAGCTAGAAGATAATATGAAATTGATATTACCTAGCTTTAATTGGCACCCATACCCCTGCGTGAAGATTGATCAATGTAAACAAAACCTAAAATGCGTTGGTAATGACCCATTCTAGCACCTGATGAACATTGCATACTGGCTTTGGAGTTCGCTAGTGAACTGTTATTTCTTCTCATACAAAGCACTTTGAAATTGGTCAAGAATTTTGCTAAGTTCAGCGAACTCCGTGCATGCGCCTTAGTTAACGTTAGTTTAGTAATAGAATAGTATACTAAACTAATCACCATTAATGGCACATGTAGATATTTCTGCATGCAGCGCTATACATCGAGTTAACCCGCTCCCATCGGCCACTCTGCACGAGAGGTTTCGAATTTAAGTGAGAGAGGGTGCTGACCATACATAATAGTAAGTGCATACCGATGGTAGATTGCGGGCGGGCAGGTGGGCGCGCGTCTGTGTGAAGCCATCTTTAAATACGTAATGAGGGTCTGAGACATTACGGTATAGATAACTTCACACAGGCGCGCTCCCGCCCGCAACCCACCATCGGTATGCCCTTGTATTGTGCAGCAGTTTGCTGTGAAACCTGTGAAAAAGTGTAGGCCTATGCTAATATCAACGTTTATCCGAAAAAATACTCTAAAACTAACAAGAAAATTGAAACATAACAGGTAATAAACACAACGACTTTTAATCTTTATTTGGACCTTTAATGAATATCTACTTCATTTTTTATATGTTTTAGTAGGGTAGGTCTAGACTCTATCTCCACGCCAGAGTTACGGGCCCGGCCCCCCCACTCAGGTTTCAAAATGACCGCATGCGTGTTGCCAAAATGTCCTTTTCGTAACAAAAGAAAAAGGTCGAGCCGTATTGACTTTACACACCGGACTTTTGCTGAAAAGGGGGGGGGGGGGGGTGCGGAAAAAGGCTCGTATACAAAAGAAAAAGGTCGAGCCGTATTGACTTTACACACCGGACTTTTGCTGAAAAGGGGGGGTCGGTTGGAACACGCATATGCGTACCCTAAATAACACTGAGTCCCAACCGGCCGGGGTTACGGGTCAAATTTTGGATAGATCTAGATCTAGGCTTCTGAAGAAGCGCAGATTTAGCCAGGGTCTAAATATTCTGGCTTGTGCAGTATCTGAACAAATTGCTATTAGGCTATGGTCATGATGGTCTATCAATCAGCTTCTGTTGAGATTTCAAAAATCAAAGGTTGTCTTTCGACTTTTCGAATCTTCTATTAACATTTAATGAATAGACTCTAGAGTCTAGGTCTAATGTTGTTAATATTATTCCACCTGATCTGATTCACGGCCACCAAAATATGGCCACCTGTGTTGTTTCTCATGAAGTAGAATCGGCATGCACCTCACCTGTTTCTCACGTTCGTTGGAATAACTCGATCACATAACGTCTTGGAAGGCATCTTGATTGCTTTAGTATGATGATTACTGGGATGTCAAAATGTAAGTCAGACCAAATATGCGAACATTCCTAGCCTGAATCACCACAAAAAACCTGCTGAAATCTCGATCCGACTATTCATGGCATGTACGTCGCAGATAGCTGACATTCACACACATGTGGATTGTTTACTTCTGCTCAGACAAATTGAAGTCGCGCGGAATATTTTTGGCGCGAAACAGACTGGATTATTTTATTAAGGGGGGTAAATAGTTAAGTAATTAACAAAATATTTAATTTTCCTATACAAATTATAATATTCATATTAATCATAATTTACGAATATAACTTTGTAATGTCAAGTTATTTTTGTATTCTTTTTTGAAACATATATGATTATTTGATTACTTTTATAGAATATGTGCACCCCTTTTGTAAATATGGTACAACCTATAACAACCCGGAAATCGAACTCCATCTTTACGGGCGACAGAGCAGGGGCCCGTTTTAACGAGACCGTCAACTTTTTTAGTACATCAGCGCTAGTAAGCTACTTAGTACTTGTCCGCTACGCGTTTCACGTATCCCTCTTTGCAAAGATCAGGGACAGCAGCATCCTGACCCATATCTCTGTCATAAACCAAAGACGTTAGCCGATGTGCAAGCACCATCACATGTCATATATTGGGTAAACTGGCTTGCTAAAAGGACAAGAAATCTACCAGCTATACACCCTTAATTATATAGACTCTATATGAACATTTGTATGAAAATATATCATCTTCATACATTTAATGCCCCCCCTGAACTAAACTGATTCTACGCGTTAGTTTTTACATTGCCATTACAAAAATGAAGTCAGGCATAATCGTGATAATAAACAAAAGTAACAAACCCAACCCAAAGACCAAAAACAAAATAATGATAAAATCGAAAAAATAAATAGGCTTGTTAATTACTAAAAAAAAAAAAAAATTGTGCATGGGATCATTGGAAACTAACACTAATGATATGTAGATCGTTATAAAATGTGTTAATGTTAATTTAATTACCTGGAGCCGGCTTTAAATCATTACACTGTCACTGTAAATAAGAGAACACCTATAGGATCAAAAGTTTTACCATTTCGAAATATAATTAAATCATGGCTGTTAATAGTTCTAGGTTTTAAATCACCTTTGAACTCTTAAATCATATGTCCTGCATACGTTCTCAGTTTAAGGTGAAAATTATATTCTGACTTGAACAATTCAATATTTGTATGAAAAGAAAATATCCGAAATATTTTGCATGGTAAAATTAGGTTACTACAACTTAGTTTTTTTTTTAAATCAGAAAAATCCTGAAAGGAATGGTTAATCCGCCACTGTGGCGGGCAATCCATCATAAAAAGTATATTCTCTTGTTGTCATGCAGACCCATGACAGATTTCAAGAGATCTAGATTATATATCTCCAAAAGCTAGACTCCAAAATGTGTAACTGAAGAGTTTAAAACATGTGTTTTAACGTTTAGAAGGCTATTTCTTTCTTCATTCTAATATTTTGTTGAAGCCTTGTTTTTTTATTTGTATATCTAGGGTCTATGTCGTAAATCATTTTAATTTTCTCTTCTCCCATGAGAGATAAGACGCAAACAGCGGTTTAGCCTCTGTAGTTTAGTCGGTGGATAAAGTTATGACTGTCTTGTCGTTGGTTTCGAGAAACTGGCACCCGGCGACGTATACTACTAATATTCGCAGCGGGGAATTTAATTGATCAGCCTCGCCGCGAAAGTTTGATCGGACTTGGTGCTAACAACGAACGTCCAGTCCAGCCGGACGGGTAGGGTACGCCTCACGTCGAGCCTCGCCGCGCAGCGCAGGGATTTGATAGTAGGCATATTCTTAGTAGTGGTGATCTTTGACTTCAGTTTACTCTGGTTTGATGAAATGTCTCAGGAATCAAGCATTGATGATATCTCATCATGGAGCAAGGAAACTTGCAGACTGAAGCTGAACGAAACACTCCCATTGTTAATAATATCCTTTTAACTTTAGACTAATGAGGTTTTATTAGAAATTAAAATTTGACTTTCAAGTTTTATTAGGCCATGTAAAATTGATTTCATGTTGATCGTCCCCGCCCGCTTCCTTTTTGGGGGCCGCCTCCTATTTTTTGTTATTTTTTTTTTTTTTTTTTTTTTTTTTTTTTTTTTTTTTTTTTGAAATTTTTTTTGATTTTTTTTTTTTTTTGAAGAAAAAAAAACATGAAAAACACTGCTAAAATGGCTCTATTTCTGATTTAAAAAAAAAAAAAATTGTCGGCGGCCATCTTGAAAAAAAATAGCCTCGACTGTCAGGGAAAATGTACCGAGCGGCCATTTTGAGCGGCCATTTTGAAATATCAAATATCAAATAACATGGTACACCCTCCTCCTCTTTTTCAAAAAATCCGGACGATCAACATGTAATCAATTTTACATGGCCTTAGCTAGGGTCTACTGTCGTCAGTGGTCGTACTCGTAGTGACAGTGATTCAACTGCATGAGTATCATTATGAATCATCATTTTTCATTCAAGTCAATACGTCACCTAACTAAGTTAGAACGAAAAGTTAGTGTAGGCCTAGATCTTTTTCGTTTTGGGATAGTCTAGATACTATAATTACTAGATCTATGTTCTGCATAAATTTGGAGGAGAGCATTGAAAGAAAAAAATCTGCATGTTTATTAATAAAAACTTCCAAGCAGACAGAATTTTTTCTGTCTAGATCTAGACGTTACATCAATCTTAGACCAAAATTTCTGTCTCTTTCGATCGTTAGTCTCTGATTTGGGTAGGGTCGGCTCAAGGAGCTGACTCTACCCAAATAGAGAGGAGCCGACCCTACCCAAATAGAGAGGAGCCGACCCTACCCAAAATAAATCGGAGGCTCTGACCTCTGTATAAATAGAGGAGCCGACCCTACCCAAATCAGAGGCTAAAGAACGAAAGAATAAAAAAAATTGGTCTAGGTCTACATCAATCTAACTAACTACTAAGCTAGACTAAATCATTCTAACTAAGCTAAATCATAGTTCGTTTTGGGTTATGTGCCTCTGAGACTAAATCTACATGTATGTCTGGCTTTACCAAATGGCTCTCATGCATGGGGCGCTGCAAGAAAGTTGCAATCAATTGCATGCAAACTCCCCAAATCAAGCGTAAGTCTTGCGATTAATTGCAAATTTGCAATTGATCGCAACTTAATTGCAACACCTCATTAGTAAAAGAGAGAGAGAGGGGGGAGGGGGGAAATAAAAGCTAGATCTAGTTAACTTAAAGGGACTTCATCAACCTTCAACAATGTTACAGAGTCACTTTAATAAAATTGTTAAAACTTTAATCCTAACAAAATCCTAGAAAATTTAGGAGACTCTGTAGTAGTGGGGCGTTGCAAGAAAGTTGAGTTGCAATTGATTGCAAATATGAGTTGCAAATTTTGCAACTTGCAATCTTTAGGCCATTTTCGTAATGTAACCAAATTTAATGCATAAGTCTTTGTGAAGTGCCTCGATACATGTCATTTCATTCACCTGAAAAAAATAGTATTTCAATAGACAGAATCCGAACTGCATACATTAGTTGTTGCCTAATTGGACAAACATGGCTTGACCTACCTAGCAACACTTAATATATGCAGTTTGCATTCTGACTATTACTATTATTCTTATCAGGTGAATGAAATTTGTATTGAGGCACTTCACAAAGACTTATGCATTAAATTTGGTTACATTACGTAAATGGCCTATTTGCAATGCCCCATGAGTCTTACTAAGAGCAGACAGAATTTTCTTTATATAGTTGTAATGACTTGACTTAAGAAGAACTTTACATTTGTAAATATTATTGTCTTGAATTTATCGCGTGGCTTGAAGTCTGGCCTTTTTATTCAATTGTCTTCCATTTCTATAGTGATCACCTGTAACATCATTGGAGCACCACACATATTTTCTCCGGCAAGCACATATTTTTCTAAACCCTATTGTATTGGAATGTGCAGTTATTCTGGCAAGCACTTTCCACAACCTACCAATGTACTGGTATAGCATTATTACACTTGCTTTTGCCACACCCACATTCATCACTTCTGCTGTTCTTATACGAGAGCACACGTCTTTGAGAGAGAGCCTAAAGTCTACACCAAAGCTAATTCAGCTTCATCATAATTCATGTCTCACTTCTTCGCTTGATTCTCTATGTTCTGAGGCCTTATTACTTTATCGAGATTATGAGTTTGTTCTCCCTTACTTCATCTGCAAAGAAGCGACATAAACAAAGTAATATATAGTCATACATATTCTTTCTACGGGTATGTGCAATATATGAACGTCTATCTATAATTCACCTTGTGAGATAATTTGTCCCAACATTTATTGGCTAAATAATTCTGGTGCGGTTTCAACAGGTGTTGATTTGAGACAAGGTAGGAAAAAAACCACTTTCTATTTGCTTTATTTTAGGTGACCGATTCCCTAAATAGTCTTCTTATGAGTGCAATCACCACAAAAATTATCGATTACTGGGGAGATATTTTGAAAATTGTAAGTTTTGTGTTATCGTTTGTTGTATCTTCCAGAGATATAACAATATTGTTGTAAGTTGGTATTCTGAAAATCATTCTATCCCTGTATTATCTCTTGTCAAGTCACGCTTTCACTTATTGGTTAAGAAACATCACAGAGATGAGAGCATTAAAATCGTCATAGCATGTAATTTTTGTAATAGTTCTCATCTGTGATGTCTCCGGTCAACACACAATCTTCTTCTCACTCGTTGGTTCTGGGCAAGGAAGATTGCCTCCATTGTATTACCACAAAAGATACAACAACCCCTACCTATTGTAAATATTTTTATAAATACCATGCAAAATAAGGCCTTTAAAAAAAACTTGTTTTGCTTTTTGCGTCCCACCCAAAAATCTTGAAAATTACGGTCGGCTTTTAAAACAGTTTTTTTTGAAAAAAAATGTATTAAAGCATTCAAAACTGAGAGATATCAGCCCATAGAGGGAACAAAAGTTAAAAAAAAAAAAAAAAAATCTGACCGACCAACCCATGTTTTGGCTCCTAAAGGGCAATACAACATTTTATTTTTTTTAGGCCTAAGACAACATCAAGTGAATGTGATTTGCAGCACAGTTTCCATGAGTCAGTGTGGATCTTAATTACTCTAAGAGGCTCAGACAAACTACTGATTGGATGCATGTACAGAAGCCCATCACTAGACAACCATGAGGAGCTGAAACAAGCATTTACATGAAAACAAGTCACATCAACCAACTCCTCCCATGTCCTAATAGCAGGAGACTTCAACTATCCCAACATTGATTGGAAGCTTGGAAGGGCAAGGTCCCATACTGAACACGAGTTCATTGAAACTGTCGCTGACTGTTATCTACACCAACACATTGGGGAACATACCAGATACAGAGAAGGCCAACGATCCAATATACTAGATCTGGTTTTAACAAATGAGGAAGGCATGATCAACCACAGACTATGTACCTGGAATTGGAAGAAGTGATCATATTGGAATCCTCTTTGACCTTACAGTATACACACCTGACACCCACAACCAAACTCCTCACCTCCAGTTTCACAGAGGGCAGTATGATATGTAAAATAGCTAAACCAAATCAAATGGGAATCCGAATTGGTGAATAAAAGTGCAGAGGATGCTTGGGAGTTCTTTGTAGAGACCCTGACTGCAAAAATGGAGAAGTTCATACCAAACTCAAAACCGAAACACCGCAGAAAAAAACAGAGATGGATGACTAGAGAGGCCCTGAGGAAACAAAACCAGAAACATCGAGCTTGGAAAGAGGCACAGAGGACCAAACATCCTGTGGACATTATGAGAGCAAGGTGATTAGCCAAAAGCTGCAAACTCTGACCATCCAGTCATGTATTATTTTGAGAAAGAGCTAGCTATGAATGTGAAATCAAATCCCAAGGCATTTTGGAGGTATGCAAACAGCAAACTCAAAACCTCTTGCAGTCTGGGCGAACTCAGAAGCTTGTCCACCTGTCAAAGTACAAATGTGCTGGACCTGATGGCATTCACCCTTGGGTTCTGAAAGAAACAGCCGCCTCACTTACAGAGCCCCTCTCCATAATCTATAATGCATCATTGAAGGAAGGCAAACTACCAAGTGCATTGAAGGTCAGTCATGTAGTACCTGTCCACAAAAAAGCCAGTAAAATGGATTTAAAGAACTACAGACCAATCAGCTTGACATCAGTACCATGCAAAATTCTGGAGTCTCTAATTCAAGATGACATAGTTGCCCACCTGATGCAAAATGGCCTACTGAATGATGAACAGCATGGCTTCGTTCCAAGACGCTCTTGTGTGACACAGCTTCTGACTGTCGTGGAGGCATGGACTGAGATGCTGGATGAAGGAACCCCTATTGATGTGGTATACTTAGACGTCAAGAAAGCTTTCGATAGTGAACCTCACCTTCACCTTCTATCAAAACTTGAGACATATCGCATATGTGGACAAATAAAGGATTGGATAGCAGACTTCCTCCAAGGTAGATGCCGGAGAGTTAAAAGTCAATGATGAGTCAACTGACTGGACAAAAGTAAGGAGTGGAGTACCTCAGGGTAGTGTTCTCGGCCCAAAAATGTTTGTTTTGTGCGTCAATGACCTACCAGATGGCCTTCAAGGGACTGTCAAGATGTAGGCTGATGACACTAAACTGTATGGCAAAGCCTCCACCTAAGACGATCTGTGCTCAATCTAATCTGACCTTGATGCACTAGTGAAATGGAGTAATACATGGCAATTGCACTTAAACACACAAAAGTGCAAAGTACTACACATAGGCCCAGGAAACGTCAAACACATCTATGCCCTTGGAGATGATGTCCTTGAAGCTACATCAGAGGAGAAAGATCTCGGCATCCTCAGGCTCAATGATGATGAGTTAAGTCCATAACCATGTGGCATATGCTGTTAAGAAAGCCAATGGAGCACTCTCCAGCATCTTTGAGTGTAGAGACAGATCCACAATCAATCCTAAAGCTGTACAAAGGCCTTGTCAGACCCACATAGATTATGGAGATTCCATATGGTATCCTTGCTTCAAGACAGATTCCAAAACCATAGAGAAGGTGCAGAAGAGAGCCACCAAAATTATTTATGACATCAGCAACCGTCTATACAGAGAGACTTTGAGCGCTGAACCTTCCCTCCCTCGAATATCGCAGATGGCGAGGCGACATGATTCCGGTTTTCAAAATCATCCATGGACTTGAACGCATCCCAGTTGATACCTTCTTTGAACACTCGACTAGCAACAGAAGAGGCCACAGTCTGAAGGTCTCAAAACACAGATGCTCATCAAGCATTAGGCAAGATGTATTCAGCCAACAAGTCATCAATGACTGAAACACACTTCCTGAAGAAGTAGTCACTGCTACCTCGGTGAATGCCTTTAAAGCCAGACTGGTGCGAGTATGGACAGACAAGCGTTTCTGCTCCCCATATGAGTAGAATACCCGACACAGAACTGAGCAAGACAACTTACCAAGATGAAGACACCCAACTAAGAGAAGGAAGAAACACAACTAAGAGAAGGAAGAAACACAAAATTGACTGGAAGCCAGATTGCTGAGAACACAGCTTTTTTCCAGAATCTTGGGTAAAGGTAAAGGTACAAGATACAACAGTTTTCAAAATACCAGTTATCTTGTCATATTATCTCCTGTGCGCTTATGCAAATGAGGATTAAGTGCCATTTTATTAATAATATGCACTGTTACAGTTAGACCACTCATCGAGTACAGTGGCACAGTTTGGGATCCCTCCTCTGTAAACCACATCCATCAAATAGAAATGGTACAAAGATGGGCCACTAGATTCACCCTAAATCAGTACCACAACACCTCTAGCGTGACCTCCATGCTCCAACTACTTGGCCTCCATGCTCCAACTACTTGATTAGACCACACGAGCAACGCAGAGAAAATTACAGACCGATATGCTGTACAAGCTCCACAACAACCTGGTAGCACTCGACACAGCACCCTACAGTACATCAACCTTGTCACAAGACCCACCAGGACTGCCCATGCACATAGCTACCAAGTCCCCCGTTCAAGAACTGAGCAACATAAGCAGTCCTTCTTTCCCAGGACTGTGAGGAGTTAGAACAACCTGCCTTCAGGAATAGTATGTGAATGCCTTCCGTCAATTCCTGGCGGGAGGCCGCAACTAAGTCCGGGAACTTTTTACTTGCACCATGTTTATAGCATTGCACCATGCACCTGGCTCTCGTAAGCACCCATCAGTCTGCAAGAATCGCCAACTGTAAAGGAGGTAGAATTAACCCAAAGAAGAAGAAGAAGAAGTTTGAGCGCAGACGCTGCCAAAGAGATGAGAGAAAATATACAACAAAAGTTACAACAACTTTCAGAATACCAACTTTATCTTAACTTCAAAGATACAAAAATATTAGAGATAACACAGGGTTCAGAATATGGCCCCTAAACTGCTGATCTGCACACAAAATAAATGGCCTTTGGCTTTGCTAGACAGAAAAATCTGTGTGCTTCAAGGAGTTTTATTATAGTCTCATCCAGTAGAGGCGCACGGTCGATTTGGGAGACTCTCCCACCTATATAGAAGACTTGGCTTACAATTTACAAAAGATCAAAAGAAATAATAACAGGGCAATTTTCCCAGCATATTTTGTGCCTGTCTGAATCAGGAGCCCATATTGGCTTTGTGTAGGGATCACAAGTTTAACAAAACCTGTTATGAAAACAAAAGTAGGTGGTCAAAAAGGGGTAATTTTTCATGAGGAAACTGCCCATCATATTTCTATTTATTTGCAGCAAATAGAAATAAAAGTAAATGAGTGTCCCGAATAGGAGACTGTCTCCCAAATAGGCTACCAAAATCTTGAGAAAAGTCTCTAGCATTAGAGGCTGACTCTCAAATAGGAGACGGTCTTCCATATCAGCTATCTGGAAAGCTTTTCAGTTCAGAGAAGCTTTAAAAAATGTATGCATAACATTGATATTATTACATGGGTTTATTTTATCTTAAGATTGGATATCACTCCCATAGCCAGCCATCACATTCATGCCCCTCTCCCATACATGCCCCCCCCCCTCCCCAAAAGAAAATATCTTTCCTGTTCATAGCTTTTTTCTGATTTGATTTGTAAAAGAGCAAGTTTTGTATTTTTTTGCTACCCCTCGCCGAAAGATCATTGACCTTAACCTCATTTTTAAGCTCAGTATGGCAATGGAGCTTCAGCAGCCAAGAAAGTGGGCATCTTGAAGACAATGGTGGTCTCACTACTACCGGTCTTGGAGGAGGATGGAAGGGAGAGAAGATTCTTGGCTCCTGTCATGTCGCAAGTATAAAATCAGTTCTTTAAGATTTTGCTCTTTAATTGGTTGTATCAAGACTCATCTTTCTCTCAACCATTCAGAAAGTTTTGTTCTTCACGATTAACATTAGATCATGTACTTGTATTCTCTGTTGTCTCTTGACTCAATTACAATTCTTTATATCAAACTATTATTCTACTTCAAAATATAAAGAGTGATTATATTAAATTTTAATGCATTTATCAGAGAGTTCTGACAATCTAAAAAAATACAGACAATCATTATTAAGCTTAAGTTGCTAATCAGATCTTAGAAAGGGATTGTACAGTATGTATGTTATTTCTACCTTGAACAAAGGTTGAAACAGATAAGTGATTTGGAAATAGAAGTTATAGAACACTATTCAAAATAGCTTTTGGTAATAATACGATCTCTCTTCCTATTTATTGCAGACAAGGGTATTATTTAGCAGCATTTGCAGCTCTATAATCACAGCACTTCAAGAAACAAATGCATCGCAGGAGCTTTGCCATTCGCTGCTTCACAGTCTACAGGTTGGTAACTTCATACATGCACATGAGTGTATGTACTTCTATATTATTTATGATAGAAAATCATTCATCTATGAATCCATACTAGATTAATACAATTCACAATTTATTGAATGTTATTCTCAATGTTGTAACAAGTCAAAGGGACCAAAAACAGTTTTCCTTCAGATATCTTTGAATGTTCATTACAACACATGAAAAGTTAGCTCTTCTAAGTGTAATGTTTGGTGATATTTCTTTTTGAAGGTCAATTAAATAGCTAAATGGCTAATATAATATCTCACAGTACAAACCATATAGTTCCATTAATATTTACAAATCAAAGATATTTCAATTGAACATTTTGTTTCCCAAATTGAGGCTTTTGGTAATATCATGTAGTAGTCTTACTTAATAGGCTGTTGATACACCTGTATATTTTTTCTTCAAAAGGTTTATTTCAATCATCACATCCGATGTACATACATAAAAATGATGTTATGTCAGGACCAATAAAACAGGATATATTGAATGATAATGCTGTTGGAGAGTGGGGTCTTGGCAGGAAAAACCATAGAGGAAATATGGTAGTGCTGTTTTGCAAGCGGAGGACACTGGCGGTTACCAAAACTCTCTATGAACAGCACCCTAGTTGTTGCTATACATGGAAAGCGCCTGGGGATATTGCATGCTACCAGATTGACTACTGAAAATCTCTGTGTATAAGACGCACCCCTACTTTTAAGACCTAAAAATACCTCTCTTCCCTTCTGTAGTAGATCTAATTCTTTATTTGCATTGTGTTATTTATGTTGAGACACAGAGATGGGTAAAAAGCCACTAAAAAGTAGCATTTTGAGGACTCAAAGTATTCTGTACCTGTCTATAAGACGCACCCTTGCCTTTTAATTTTTCCGTTAGAAAAAAGTGTGTCTTATACACAGAGATTTACGGTATATTCTTGTGAACCAGTGTTACAAGAATAGTGTAAAAAAGTCCCTGGCATATCCAGGCGCAGACTGTTACTCGGTTCACAACTTGGTGCTGATGACAGTGCAGCTGAAACTACAGAAGATGAGAGGGAGCTGTAAAGTGACAAAAATAGATAATGCAAAGCTGAAACAGAATGCATTAGTGTATGCACGTGGTGTTCAATCCCGGCTGTACTCTAGAAAATTCCTAAAGGTGCCTGGCATGGTAGTGCTGAAGAAAACATTGGGTTTGGTAAGAGAAAGAAGATCCGTAAACCATGGATAACGAAGGAAATGATAGATAAAATGGATCAGAGACTCAGAAGGACGCTGAAAATGACAACACTGCAGAAGGCAAAAGGGGTTACAAGAGGCTTAATGATGAACTAAGAAGAGCTACAGACACAGCACGAACTATATGGTGGGAAAAACAATGCAAGGAATTAGAGAATCTAAACCGCAGGGGGAGAACAGACCTTATGTACAATAAAGTGAAAATACTTAGTGACGATTTAAACAAAGGGAAAGGAAAGAACAACACGAGGGGTTCTGGATGTGAATGGAGAACTGCTAACCAACCAACGGGACATAGAGTAGAGATGGCGTCAGTACGTAGAGGAGTTGTATGCAAGGGACAATAAACCAGTCACTCTGCCCTTGGAAATGGAAGATTATGTGATGGCGAATGATGTTGGTCCTTCCATACTTCCAGAAGAGGTGCATGCTGCAGTCAAAGTTTGTCAGAGAAAAAGGCGGCTGGGAAGATAACATTACTGCTGAAATGATCAAGAATATGGGGGAAGCTTGCATAATGGCACTGACTGAACTATGTCAACATATATGAACTTGAATCTGGCCAGATGATTGGACAGGAAGCCAGTTGATAACTATTAAGAAGACTCCAAAAGTGCAAAGGCAATCAGATGCGAGGATCACCACACCATCAGCCTGTTATCACATGCTTCAAAAGTATTGCTATAGCTCTGCTATACATGTAGCTCTGGCAAGAGCTGCCTTCTTTCAACGATAAGATATCCTGATGAGCCACAATATTGACCAAAGTTTGAGAAAGCGTCATGTGAAGTCTCTAGTATGGAGTGTACTGTTAGTGTACTATTGTATGGGGCAGAGACGTGGACACTCGCCAGGAAGGACATTCAGCGATTGGAAGCGGTCGAAATGTGGTGCTGGCGCAAATTACTAGGTGTGTCTTGGAGGGATAGAGTTTTAAATGAAGAGGTGTTGCATCGACCTCAAGAAAAGCGGGTGCTGCTTCAAACGATCAGAGAGAGACAGAAGAAATGGCTAGGACACATAATGCGGCATGATGATGGCTTGATGATCAGAGTCATAGAAGGTCGTCTACAAGGAAAGAAGAAGAGGGGAATGCCTCGTAAAGGCTTTCTAGATGATTTAACCGCAGAATGTGGAGCAACAGGATATGAAATGCTGAAACGGATGGCTCAAGACTGAGGTACTTGGAGAGACACTTGATGTAGGATTCTGATTGGGTCACTGAACCTGTCATAAACTGATAGATCACTATTGATGATATTGAATTATATCTCATTGGTCAAAACTGCAGGCATGACATTCGCTACTGACTGCTGAGCAACATAGCGAAAAATATTGACTGATCATAGTTGTACTTGCACGTGCAATGCAAGGACGCAGTGACTGCGCATGGAGATTACGATTGATATAACGCAAAGTGAGACACACTCTATACTCTTAGATGGGTAAATCTCCTTAGACTCTACATATTAAAATACAATTTAACAGTCTTATTTGGTAAAAATTTGATCTCTTTCAGTCTTCACAGGGGGGATGCAGTATAAGTATAAAATAAATATTGACTGCTTATTTTGGGGTCATGGGTAAAACTATAGATCCTCTGTGATCTCGAGACAGCATTAATTATGCCTCTTGACTTTGTCTTGAGGCACAGTACAGTTTTGAGGTCACCTTGCCCAATAGTCTGAAATGTGTCCCTCAAAGGAGTCGGTAAATTGTATTATATTTTTTATTAATGAAATCCTGTTCACTGATTGGTCAACAAAGCATCATGTGACCAAACATAACTGGTATCCATGGTATATAATACTAGTAGTGCATTATATTCCACATACTAAGAATCTTGCTTTGCGATTGGTCAAAAGTTAGTCACGTGATGAAACATAGTTTCGCCCATCATTGATGGGAGAAGAACAGTTTGTTACACTTGTGTACTATCTTTGGTGAAGGCGATCTTTCCTCAGCTTTCGCTTCAGAAAGATAGCTATATACATCGAGATCGCCTCGGAACTGATAGTTTGTCCCATCACCTTTACTAACGATAATTATTTGCTTACACCATTGATGATGTCCTAGATATGTGACCAATCAAGATTATTATTATTATTTTTATGAAGGTCGGTTTGAAAAATATAAAACAAATTTATCATGCCCTATTTCAAGCTATTTCTCGGCGACAGAAATAGTGCTATTCCTGCTACCTCGATCCATAATTTCAACCAGAGCCTCTCAGCGCATGGTGCATTTGTTTATTATATTCAAATTGACATAGGGTTACTCAGATACAGAAACAATCTTCTGTCCATAGTTCTGAATTGGTAATGGTATATTTATTAAAGTGAAAAAGTCGTGACAATTTAACATATTAACTGAATTGGATTCAATTTAACTCTTCATTATTTGCAGCTCTTGGTAGAGGTCATCAATAGTTTGGAGATGGTCATTCAACAGATGATGCCTTCCCCAGGGGAAACAGTTTCCTTGGATACAATAGAGTCATTGCCTTGTAATGTCCTAGCGGTCATACAAAGGTCTTTCAGTCATTGCAAGGTACAATCAACTTCAGTCTGCAATTTTCTTGAATTTGAAATATGTTGTAAGATGTTTTTAGGTTTTTTACACTGGTGATTTGTAAACTGCTGTAACACATCTCTCTAGGCTTTGCGTTAAGATAATGTAAGTTTTCACAAATATAATTTGTGTAACGAGTGTTGGGTAAATTTTCTCTTGATTTATTCTAACAGTTATATATGATAAAAAAGAACATTTATTTTCAGTTATTGATTCAGTTTATTAATAGGAGTTAAATATTCTTCATTCATACTGGTAATGAGCAAGTTTTGGAGAATAGAGATGAGATCACCTTATAGTACTGTATTTATCTCAATGAATATATATAATATATATATATATATATAACATATATATATTATAATCGTCTGTACATGGCTTATGGGTCATAAAGAGAATCAACATATGAAATTAACAAGAGTAAACCATTCTCATTATTTTGTTATTTTGTAGGATAGTCACACTGTTTATGGGGATCACTTCTCAGCTGTATCAGAGCAACTGTCGGTCCTCTTCAAGAGAGCTTACAGTCTTCAGAAAGCACTGATGACACTTTTTGAAGTCGTCTCAGATTCCATTAACAGTCACACTGATAGTCTATCACATGGTAAGTTTCGATCGGAAACGAGTCATTTTAGACCTTCCACTGCAGCAAGTTCAAAAACAATTGTTACAAATTATTATAATTATTTTAATTATAATGATAATTAGATCAATTTATATAGCTCGGCTACTATATAAATATACTTGACTACGCTGTGATGAAAAGCAAAACTCCTAACAGTGCTACTTTACAGACACACACATTTTGGTGATTGAAAACATGTTTGGCGCTGAAAGAATGAATTCATTGCAGTTAAAACAATCAGAAATTGGGAAAGTATTAAATTGAGATACAATTGATGAATGGATTATAATTTGGGACTTATTCAATGTTGACTCAGTTCAGTTTGAAGACTAGCAACTTAACTAAGCTGAAGTTTATAATGGTTTATAAGGATGGTAAGATCTTTTATTGAAAAAAATATAGATTTCCTTATTACCTAAAATACTAAAGTAGATCTCACTGTGATCTGACATTTTCTCTGCAGTTGTATAATCTTAATGTTATTTTATCACTGTTTAGGGTTAGGGATACTATTAGGCTTTAGGAAGTTGAGGTTAGGTTTAGGGTTAACGTTAGCAATTCAAATGATGCTAGAGCATTTTCACTCTTTTGTTGTTCTTTGCAGTCTGTGATGGTTTCCATGAGTTGTGTAGGATCATGAGCGGTATGGACACCACTCTTCTTGTAGGTACCTGGAGATTCCTGGTCAAGCTTGTCATCAAACACAAGCACTCCATTCAACACTCATTTCAGGTAGGACATAGCTTCTTGACCCTTTTTGTTTGTTGTTGTTGTAGTAGAGGGGCCAACCATTCCTATTTTGGAGGAATAATTCCTATTTTTGAGCCTTCAAGCTATTGATTTGAACCTTAGATTCCTCTCTTTTTCTGAATTATTCTGTGTAAAAAGTATATAAAATACACTGTATTCCTAATTTTGCCTAGAGAGATTCCTAATTTTTGCTGTGAAAGGTTTGCAGGTATGGGAATGTCATCTAGTGGACATGTTATTAGACTGTGGATTGGATGGTTTGTAGTTTGAGTCCCAGCCATGTCACTTGTGTCCTTTGGCAAGAAATGAACCTACATTTGCCACTCTCAACATAGGATAGGAATTGGTGACCTGGCAGGAAGCAATTCCTTAAATGCTCTCAATGTTTTAGGGCAGCTTTGCTAAGGCCAGGGTTATACAGTAGTACTTTGAATACCTTTACATTCCCATCTGGCATATTTTGTTGGGGTATTGACCATCAAAATGAATGATCTGGCCATTGCTGTAATAATTACCAATTACACTATGAAGAAATCCACAAAGACTCCCAGGTAATAAAATACTACCTGATCTTTTGTATATTTAATAGTTAATGGATTGAATCTGCTTGTTGACAAATGGTGAGTTGCTGTTGATCTATAACCACTTGGTCTACTACCCAATTAGTCTAGGTGTAGACCATATGGGAATAGACCAATTGAGTAGTAGACGAACATGTTGTAGACCAAACGGCAATAAACCTTTGAAAAACATATCCAGATTAATATGTACCTAGGGACACCGAAACATTCCTAAGACAGCAACCACTAGGACATAACCTCTGGAAATAGACTGTCAAATGGACAAATACTTGACTTACTTGTGCTTGGAAATGTCCTATCTTAAGTTGTTCAGGGCTTAAGAACCTAGCATCATTTGGATCATAAGCTTTCTTTTATAATAATTTGGAACAATAATCTTCATGCAGACACCACCTCTGGTCCAGACCCTGTGTAACGAGGTGGAATCTCATTACTGCCATGTCCTGGAACTAGCACCTCACTCTCAGGCCTCTGGTGTCCAGATCCAGGGTTCCCAGGGCATAGACGAGAAAGCATTTGCCAGGACTCTGAAGGTTTGCAGTTTGTGCTTCAAGATGCTGCATCATTTGGTCAAGGAGTTTCCAGAGGAGTGTGTGGAGGAGTGTGGACCACAAGTGGTCCAGGTCCTGCTGGTCTTACAAAGGTAATGATTTGAAATGCACATAATTATACTTTGTTATAGAAGAGTGTGGACCATAGAAAGTATAGATCCTAATGGTTCTACAGAGATAATAACATAGACAGTGGCTTATAATATTTTACCAAATGAGTTTGTATCCCAGTTAGTCAATGTTTTGTCACTTCAACATAGATAGATGGAGTAATATAAACTACAAATACTTCATTACTCTTAATCCAATAGGTCCTGGTCTTGTTGGTTCTACAAAGATGATAATCAGGAAGGGCAAATGGTTGTCCATTACATCTATTGTCTTTAGAGGATGGAGACTACAAGTAGTCCAGACCCGTTATATTTCCAGAACAGTACATTGTATGTGGGAATAAGTGGATCACAAGTAGCCCCGGTTTTGCAGATTATATGGAGTATTGGAAGATGCTGTAGTATAATGTGCATCATTGTAAATACTTGAAATCAGACTACGTTTCACCAGATACGAGACTGGGCTGTGTGGTATTAAAACAATTGAACCTAGATCACGTCTCACCGCCTCGTCTGTTGACTTACAGTAATTATTAGGTAGTCTAACCACCACAATAGATGTTAGCTTTGTCCATTCAGGACATTTCCTAGAGAAAGTGTGTAGAGGAACATAGGCCAAAGCTAATCTGCCAGTCACTGCTTGTTTTCTTTACATTTCAGTCTGACCCCACCGAGCCTCACAGCCAAACCTATCTCGGAGAAAGCTCTCCAGGATCTTCAGAGGTCAGTTCTTGTGGGCATTGAACCTCTGATCCAACTTTTCATCCCCAGTAGAAGGTTCTGTGAATCATTGCTCGCAACAAATCAAGGTAATCTTTATATTCAATAATTTAATATATGTATTTATTTATTCTTTCATTCCTTCATTTTCCTTGCAATTATCCTTTTGATTGAAGAATACAGTATCAGTCATATAGTCATTATGCATTCATGTCTATTTATTTCTAGCTTTGGTTAGCCCCTTACATTACATCCCTATCAAATTGAAAGATATTGCAACTCTGAACTGCTGTACTGTTTTTCCCTATTTTGGGCTATTGAGCAAGAAGTCATTTATAAATTCCAACATATGACCGATATGTGTAATACGTGCAGACCTCTGTGCATGTGCATTTGAACGATTTGGAAAATTTCTATGAGATTACCCTGACAGCTGATATTAAAACTTGAATAAATTTGTCCTGACTGAAATACTTGAAGCAAATTCTATCGTCATCTCTTCAAATGTAGAACGTAAACCAGACAAGAGCCTTGCCACACTGCTCATCCTACTAAGCATCCAGAAGCAGTTACCCTTAGCAACAGATGAGGCTTGCACCCTTTGGCTCGATCCAGTCATCATGCCTGAGGATGTACCTAGAGAAAGCCTTGTTGCAGGGATATTCACAGCTATCAAGAATTGTATGTACAATTAAATTTATGACAGTGGCTATCTATCTGAAAAAAACACTTTAACCAATTCTTTCTGAAAATAAATGTGTTGCATTGTGTTTGGGTTGATTTTTATTTGATACTCTATCTGGAGAACTGTTGGAAGAGATTCAGACAAAACATTGATATTAAAAGTATGAAGCACATTATTTCTCACACCTCTGGGTGGTTTTAAATCACAACCTTAGCAGTTAGGAAGTGATTTATTGATTGTAGCCCGCAGAATGCTATCATTTTACAACTGCAACAAACTTGTCATATCGATAGCAATATAAAATCAACATTCTAGATTACAAGTAGGTACACATTTAATTAAGAAAACAAAAACAAAAAGACACCAACCAATCTGAGCCTAGGGTTTATGATTCTCTGGTTTGTATATAGTTAGCCTTTTCAATGAATGCAAGACTATAATCCCCAACTGCTTCTACATCACTGCCATTAATATAAATTCTGTCAACGTTATTATTTTTTTTTTTACTGCTGTTTGTCTTTGGAAAAATAAAATAGAAATATAGTCTAATCAAATAGGGTGCAGTTGCCATAACATGTTTTATCTCTTAACTTTCAGGTTATGTTGAGCTATCTAAACCTGTGACCCTTCCAGGCATCATGTGCAACGGCAAACCTCAAACAGACATCAGTCTGTACGATTATGTTTTGACACATCTTTGCGGCTTTGTTGCGTCCTTACCTGCAAGGTTCTTTCAAAGTGTTGAAAGATGTCTCCTGTGGAATATTCTCAGTTGCGACTGGTCCGTCGTCATGGTTGCAATCGATATTTGGTGTTTCATGGCAAGGTCAGGCATGCTGTCAGAAATGTATTTCTCCTTAACCCATCGCCTATGGGAACTGGGTTGTTCCTGTATTAAAGTATACCAATCACCAAAACATGTTACACTCTTGATGTAAAAGGTTCCGTGTGACTGTACTCTATTTAAAATATGAGCTTCAAATATTACTTCTACAAAGGGATATAGCAATTGTTAGTGAGCTTATTGTTGAGTAGGCTAGTTAATACACGTGGGACTCGCAGAGAATAGGGCTTGCAGGGAGCACAAGTTAGACTCAAGTTGGACTTTGGTTCTGTGCGAGACCTTTATGCAGGGTTTTATGTTATCCTTTATTTTTTTCATACTCCTTGACCATTTACCTATAAAATGCCAGGTACAGTTTTTGTGGTTGATTTAACACATTCTAGCTTTACATAAATTATGTTTTTCAGGTTGATTTGTATGCTTTAAGACTATGGGGAAGGAAGGAAGGATTCAGTATTTACCGTAATGGGTTAGGTATGGCCATACTTGCAGATATTTCACCAAAAGTTATATACGCATTTCTGAAGTTTGCTTTAAACTGTTACTGTAAATGGATACAAATGGAATATTGCAGGAAAAGAATTTCCTGGAATATTTTCAGTATGACCACACCTCATATGGTACTCTGCAAATATAATTCTTTTGTTAATCATCATTGATATTTGCAAACGTCATATTTGACAACAGGGTGAGTTCACAAATAACAGTGCCCCCACTGGCAAGCCGAGAAAGACAACTTTCAACCAGTGTAACGCAGCAAAACATTAGCCACCGATCGAAATTACCAAAGTGGTCCGGTCTATGTAATTCATTCAATGAGATTGATTGTTCTGATGTCGACGCACATTATTATATTGAATTTGAATGTCAAAACTCGCCCATCAATTGATTCTTACTGAAATTTTTTGATAAAAGTTACCAAACTACCACTTTTCTAGCATCAGGGTACATTTTGACATGAAATAGGTCCAACAAATCTTCTTTGCTGGTAATAATGTTTGGAAAAATTTGGCCATGATAACCTACATGTAAATGGCATGGGTAAGAACAATAAAGATTGATATTTTAGGAATTGGCACAAAATTTTACCCTGCATAAGCTATTCAATCTTTCCCCACCATATTTCTGATTAAATCCCCTTCTCCCCTAGGGTATCTGTATAAGAATACACAGCTGATAGTTTTGTTTACTTATTCCCATAATGCATCACGTGAAGTTGACTAAACACTGGTGTTGCTGTATGGCGCTGTGGAATGTGAATACACTGTATAAACAGATTTCTTTCAAGCCATGACATGTCCTTTGACATGTTGCTGTATTTTTTCTCTCTCTTTAAAGTTCTGAACCGTCCATGACTCTTATAGGATAAATCCTTGAAACAATTTTTAACTAAAAGTCACTAATGTTCATAGAACTATTAAAGAACCATCATTCAAATAATAAGACACATTGCATTTCATTTATTTCTAATTCCTGTGCCTAATCTGCATCTTACCTTTAAAACAAGATTTATAAAACATAACATTTTAAATCTTCAGGAAATCACAAAACTTATTGTTATGTTTGCTCCAACAGATATGGGTCTGCAGATCTGTGCTTGCATCATGTACGGTTAATATGTGACCTCTTGACCTCTCTTCAGACCCATCAGAGCATTAAGGCTTCTAAACACTTAACACTCCTCCTTGGCAGATTAATACCACTCCTAGCACCAGATCATCAAGTGAGTATGATCAGAGCATTAAGGCTTCTAAACACTTAACACTCCTCCTTGGCAGATTAATACCACTCCTAGCACCAGATCATCAAGCGAGTATCATCAAGCGAGTATCATCAGCGCATTAAGGCTTCTAAACACTTAACACTCCTTGGCAGATTAATACCACTCCTAGCTCCAGATCATCAAGTGAGTATCATCAGCGCATCAAGGCTTCTAAACACTTAACACTCCTCCTTGGCAGATTAATACCACTCCTAACACCAGATCATCAAGTGAGTATCATCAGCGCATTAAGGCTTCTAAACACTTAACACTCCTTGGCAGATTAATACCACTCCTAGCACCAGATCATCGAGTGAGTATGATCAGAGCATTAAGGCTTCTAAACACTTAACACTCCTCCTTGGCAGATTAATACCACTTCTAGCACCAGATCATCAAGTGAGTATGATCAGAGCATTAAGGCTTCTAAACACTTAACACTCCTCCTTGGCAGATTAATACCACTCCTAGTACCAGATCATCAAGTGAGTATGATCAGAGCATTAAGGCTTCTAAACACTTAACACTCCTCTTTGGCAGATTAATACCACTCCTAGCACCAGATCATCAAGTGAGTATCATCAGAGCATTAAGGCTTCTAAACACTTAACACTCCTCCTTGGCAGATTAATACCACTCCTAGCACCAGATCATCAAGTGAGTATCATCAGATCATCAAGTGAGTATCATCAGATCATCAAGGCTTCTAAACACTTAACACTCCTCCTTGGCAGATTAATACCACTCCTAGCACCAGATCATCAAGTGAGTATCATCAGAGCATTAAGGCTTCTAAACACTTAACACTCCTCCTTGGCAGATTAATACCACTCCTAGCACCAGATCATCAAGTGAGTATCATCAGATCATCAAGTGAGTATCATCAGATCATCAAGGCTTCTAAACACTTTACACTCCTCCTTGGCAGATTAATACCACTCCTAGCACCAGATCATCAAGTGAGTGTCATCAGAGTCATAGTGATAATAATAATAATGTTCGGTTCTTGTATAGAGCATATCATATTATAACGTCTCTATGGGCTTCCAAAGAGCTTTGCAAAATCACATAACTACATCCTAATATCTAGCAAAAGTAAGAAACACGTCGTTGGCCTCTGCCAGGCCCCTCCTAGTGAGGATTTCAGAGGATTCACGATTTTTACAACGGAAAACATCTCCACGTGTCAGTCCTTACGGCGAAAAAGCGTTTATTTCTTTACAATATGGCAGCCTCTAGACACCGACAAATTCGAGCGAGAAATCCAGCACGCTATTAAAATATAACTTCCATAGTTCCAATTCATTGGTTTAAGGTTTGAAAGTTGAAACTCAATATTGTGTGAAAGTTATAACAGAAAAGATAATTTTTATTTTATAATTCCACAGGGGGCGATTTTTAAGTTTGCAATCGCCCCCCTGAGCACTCTGACGGGGGCAATTGTATAGCTCACAGGGGCAAATCGCCCACCGCCCCTGTGTATTTTGAGCGTTACTGACCAGGCACCTGTTTACTGCACCTGAGTTGATAGTGGCAAGTGTAGATCTTGTCTTGGTTAATTAAGGACATTGATTGTAAATTGTCATGTAATTCAGCTGAGGCTGCAATATGATAAAAAAAAAAAACTGAACTGAACTAGTGCCATGACAGGGATGTGAACCACGAACCTTGTGATCCACAGTGTGCTGACTTATCCACAAGACCATGATATTTCTATGCAGGCAATCTGAATGCTAGTCTACACAGCACTGCATCACTGTCGCTTTACCATCCCCTTCAGTTGTCATTTTATTAAATCATTCAAAATGATCAATCATTAAAAAAACAATTACTTTAAATCATAATTTGTTTCTTTGTGAACTTTCTGCAGTTGGAACTACTTTCTGCCTATCCCATAGAAACACATCCAGACTTGTGGTCCAGGTTTCCACTAACCTCTTTACCAGACTCTTGTAGAGATACAGTATGTGAACAAATCATTAAGAGCTGCACAAAGGCATTAAGTGACTGGAGTGAGTCTAGACAGACGAGAGACATTGGCTCGGCACAAAACATGGTGAGTGAACAAAAATGAGGAACCGTTTGTGTTCGTGTTTGTACTGTGAATATGCTATTCAGTATTTGGAACCTTCTATTGGCAAGTTCTTGTCCCAAAGATATGAAATTATTGTTTTTCCATTTTGTTTGGATGAGAAGGCTTTTTACTTATATACCAGTATAGTACAACAGTTTATAAGCAATGTGAAGGTTGATTTGATAGAAAATATTTTATGCCCATTATCACAGTTACACAAAATACTGTAGCTCTAGAAGATTTTCCAAAAAGGCTATCAACTTGATACATGTGGAAGAGGAGCTATGTGATGTCTTTTTGTTTTTTTTTGTTCTGATTTATCCTTGGCTTAAGCTTTTTAGTAAAAATTTAGAAACAAATTAAACAATCTTGGTTGAATGATTTAACAGTTTTAATAATCCTAATTATCACTCTCTTCCAGATGAAACATCTTATATATGTTCAGCGGTTATTCGGGCAGAATGACATCAACCAGCGAATCAAAGAGAGCCTTACGAAACCTTTGGGTGAAGCTCTTGTGTGTATGTGTTGTGTTTTCTCATTGGACAAGCTCTCTCCTGTAGCTTTTGGTTGCATCTTAGATGTCTCGGCTTATCTCCTGCAGCATGCAACACCTGCACATATCCTAGAGGTAACGTAGTTCTCATCCTCCACCAAATGTATATCCAAGGACCAATCGTAGGGAGACAAGAACCCCATCTTTTAAAAATTGTAATTGATCACAATTAATTGCAGCTTTTGTAAATATGTTAATTCAGATACCCTAATTTATATATAAGCCTACGAACCGGGACCTACATAATACAAGCTTTGCTTTTTAGTAGATCCCCCACTTTATTGATCAATTTTTATTTGATTGTATTCTCTGTTATAACTATTATCATATACATTATGTTTTCTTTATTGCATGTTTAGTTATAATAATTACCATTATTCATTATGTTCAATTATGTTATCTTTGATAAAGTGAAATGAATAAACTTGAAACTTGAAGTCCCCCAGTCAATAACAAAGTAACAATCTTTTGTATCAAGTTTCAATTGACATATGTATTAATATTAAGTTAAGTTTTTATCGTTTGCAGATCAGTCCTGTGATGGGGGTTCAGAAAGGCAATCTTTAGAAGCAGATGGTCTTTATGAACAAGTTTCCTACAATGTATTGAAGTACAAATATAAAATGGAATCCTTATTCAATGGAAACAAAACTTTTGGTATACATAGATAGGTTGTCCCCCCCCCCCCTCACATTGATGACATTTTCCCCCTGTGCAGCTGCTAAAGATGGCTAGTTCCAGTGTGACTGCTGATTCACCTTTGAGCTTCCGGTTGGCCTGCATTACGTTTCTGCAGAGATTAGCCAAGAGAAATTTACCAGCATGTCCAGAGGTAAACGCCCTTCTCAAAGTGAAGGACATTTTTTAATTTTTATATTTACCCAGTTTATCATATTCATCCAACGATACACTGCAAACAAAATAAAGCAATATATAACGATTGAACCAGGAAAGACTATGACATTTGGGCACAGAGAGATATGAATTGTTAGAGGGATAGTGTGAGCTCATGGACACAGGGAGATATGAATTGGTAGAGGGATAGTGGGAGCTCTTGGACACAGGGAGATATGAATTTGTAGAGGGATAGTGGGAGCTCTTGGACACAGAGAGATATGAATTGGTAGATGGATAGTGGGAGCTCTTGGACACAGAGAGATATGAATTGGTAGAGGGATAGTGGGAGCTCTTGGACACAGAGAGATATGAATTGGTAGATGGATAGTGGGAGCTCTTGGACACAGAGAGATATGAATTGGTAGATGGATAGTGGGAGCTCTTGGACACAGGGAGATATGAATTGTTAGAGGGATAGTGTGAGCTCTTGGACACAGGGAGATATGAATTGTTAGAGGGATAGTGGGAGCTCTTGGACACAGAGAGATATGAATTGGTAGATGGATAGTGGGAGCTCTTGGACACAGGGAGATATGAATTGGTAGATGGATAGTGGGAGCTCTTGGACACAGGGAGATATGAATTGGTAGAGGGATAGTGGGAGCTCTTGTCTTCACCTACAAACTGACTTTAATTGATCCAGTTTGAAACCGAGTCACTTCTTTTGGCAGGCAACGTTAAAGGTCCGTACTCAGACGTAAATAATCATATCTGATTGATACATGTCTATAAAATCGCAGTTGCACACACAAACACACACACATCTCAGGTGATAGGATAAAGTTTTTACATTATCCATGGAAAATCAGGATGTCAGTTTGTGTGTGTTTCAGTTGAACTATTTATTGACAAGCTGCATTCAATTGTGTATAGGATGGTCACAGGATGTGAATCAAAGAAGATAGTGTATTTGATTCCCTCCAATATATTTTACAGTTTAGAATACCGGTACATTTCATTGTGGATCTTAAAAATACATCAAGGATATTAATATTATCACTAGTACAACTACCAGAGATTCAATACTTTCATACATCACATACAGTAAACAAATAAATTATTCATACCCTTACCAAGTTTAGTAATTTTTTAAGTATGTGAGAAATTGATTTGTCCTGATTTATTTTCTTGAGAATGTGATGTATAAAAGATTAAATCTAAAAGTATTCAACAAAGGCCCTCATTTTACCTATCCACCTTGGATTCTTCAGTTATTAAAAAAAAAAAAAAAAAAAAAAATCAAAATTACAAAGGGTATGAAAAATTTAAACACACATTTCAATCCATTATATAAACACTTTGATATATTCTTGATATGATATCTTCCTGCCAGCGATCCCAAATTCTGGCTCACATTCCAGTCCTGTTTGGGAAAGTCTTGTCAGATCCCAACTACTTCATTCATCAGCAGGCCCTGCAAGCATTCAGTTCATTTGCAGAGGTGAGAAGAAGAGTTGTAATTGATAATAATAATAATAGTCACATTTGTATAGCGCTTAATACTACATTTCTAAGTGCTTGACGGTGTAATTATTATTACCCTGGTGTTTGGATCAAAGGCTAATCCCCTTATGATAGTGCACACGCTCTGCTCCCTGGAGAGCTAGTATTCAGGCAAGGCCCTATTTTACACGCGCACATGCCCATCCAACCACATTAATGTTTCTATCCTACTGGGTACCCATTTAACACTGGGATGGAGCATGGCAAATGTACATTAATGTCTTGCCAATGGACATCAGTGCTGAGCTCGGATTCGAACTATGAACAATGTGATCCACAGTCCGGTGACATATCCTCAAGACCACAACACCTCTATTACTTCAATTAGATACTTGTATTAATTCAATATTTTACTTGGTATTTAGGTTATCTATTTTTAAGTAAAACCGCTTATAAAGTCTCATTCAGATTACATCTAAAGATTTAATTTAGTACGGTAAGTCAATTTTAGGCAAAAGACTTGATGAAAGCTATTGTGACATCAAATAGCCTATCCAAATTTTGTGCAATGAATGTGCCCTTGTATATATTTTCATTTGAGCAGTTTTTCATGATGAAAACCACTTGCCTTCCAAAATAATTGGGCCATTCATTTATTTGGTTTAGCGCCATCTAGTGTCGTCTGCTTGTTAATTGTTGTTATTGATTGTTCGTCCATCTTCAGCTTATCATCTTCACCCTGCCTTGAAATAATCTTTCTTTCTTTTCATCAGGAGACAACTCTTGAATCATTGGTCCCAGAATGCATCAGGGCAGATAACGTCCAGAAGAATGTTGTAGATTACCTCAATCAGGTGAGATGTGGAAGGTCATATGAAGTGATCTCTTCTCTCCCTCCCCCTCCCCCTCCACCTCACCTCACCCCACCCAACCCCTTCAATCAGGTGAGATGTGGAAGGTCATCAATCTCTTCTCTCCCTTCCCCCTCCCCCACCCCTCCCACCCCACCCCAGCCCCTCAATCGGGTGAGATGTGGAAGGTCATCGACCTCTTCTCTCCCTCCCCCCACCCCACCCCACCCCTTCAATCAGGGGAGATGTGGAAGGTCGTATGAAATGATCTCTTCTCTCCCTTCCCCTCCCCCCCCCCTTTAATCAGGTGAGATGTGGAAGGTCATATGAAGTCATCTCTTCTCTCCCTCCCCCCCACCCCACCCCACCCCCTCAATCAGGTGAGATGTGGAAGGTCATATGAAGTCATCTCTTCTCTCCCTCCCCCCCCCCCCCCTCCCACCCCACCCCACACCCTCAATTAGGTGAGATGTGGAAGGTCATATGAAGTGATCTCTTCTCTCCCTCCCCCCTCCCAGCCCACCCCACCCCCTCAATCAGGTGAGATGTGGAAGGTCATATGAAGTCATCTCTTCTCTCCCTTCCCCCCCCCCTCCCACCCCTCCCCTCCCCCTCAATCAGGTGAGATGTGGAAGGTCATATGAAGTCATCTCTTCTCTCCCTCCCCCCCCCCCCCCCGCCCCTCCCCACCCCCTCAATCAGGTGAGATGTGGAAGATTATATGAAGTCATTTCTTCTCTCCCTCCCTCCCCCTTCCCACCCCACCCCCTCAATCAGATGAGATGTGGAAGGTCATCGAACTCTTCTCTCCCCCCCTCCCCTCCCACCTCACCCCACCCCACCCCACCCCACCCCACCCCCTCAATCAGGTGAGATGTGGAAAGTCATCAATCTCTTCTCTCCCTTCCCCCTCCCCTTTCCACCCCACCCCAGCCCCTCAATCCGGTGACATGTGGAAGGTCATCGATCTCTTCTCTCCCACCCCCCCCCCCACTTCACCCCACCCCTTCAATCAGGTGAGATGTGGAAGGTCGTATGAAATGATCTCTTCTCTTCCTTCCCCCCCCTCCCACCTCATCCCACCCCCTCAATCAGGTGAGATGTGGAAAGTCATATGAAGTCATCTCTTCTCTCCCTCCCCCCGCCCCACCCCACCCCACCCCCTCAATCAGGTGAGATGGGAAAGGTCATATGAAGTCATCTCTTCTCTCCCTCCCCCCCCCCCCCCCCCCCCCCTCCCCACCCCCTCAATCAGGTGAGATGTGGAAGATTATATGAAGTCATTTCTTCTCTCCCTCCCTCCCCCTTCCCACCCCACCCCCTCAATCAGATGAGATGTGGAAGGTCATCGAACTCTTCTCTCCCCCCCTCCCCTCCCACCTCACCCCACCCCACCCCACCCCCTCAATCAGGTGAGATGTGAAAGGTCATCGATTTCTTCTCTCCCCCCTCCCCTCCCACCTCACCCCACCCCACCCCACCCCACCCCACCCCCTCAATCAGGTGAGATGTGGAAGGTCATCGATCTCTTCTCTCCCTCCCCCTCCCCTCCCACCTCACCTCACCCCACCCCACCCCCTCAATCAGGTGAGATGTGGAAGGTCATATGAAGTCATCTCTTCTCTCCCTCCCTCCCCCTTCCCACCCCACCCCCTCAATCAGGTGAGATGTGGAAGGTCATCGATCTCTTCTCTCCCTCCCCCCCCCCCCTTCCCACCCCCACCCCTCAATCAGGTGAGATGTGGAAGGTCATATGAAGTGATCTCTTCTCTCCCTCCCCTCCCTCCCCCTTCGCACCCCTATCCCCTCAATCAGGTGAGATGTGGAAGGTCATCTCTTCTCTCCGTCCCTCGTCCCTCCCCCTCCCCCTCCCCCCACCCCACCCCCCAATCAGGTGAGATGTGGAAGGTCATATGAAGTCATCTCTTCTCTCCGTCCCTCCCCCTCCCCCTCCCCCTCCCCCCCCCCTCCCACCTCACCCCACCCCCCAATCAGGTGAGATGTGGAAGGTCATCTGAAGTCATCTCTTCTCTCCCTCCCCCCCCCCCTACCCCCAATCATCAGAGACAGAGGAATGTAAGATCATCTAAGCACAGTTCTTGATTCGCCCGCCAAGCACCCTGGACAATGGCTTAGGTTTGAAGGACTAGAAAGATTGTGATTTAGTGAGTGTTAGCTTTAGAAGCTTTGAGTTAGTGTGGATTGAGGGGATGTTATGATATCATTGAATTGTTTGGATTGATTTCATTAACCACTTTCATAGAGAACTAACACATTCGTATAACACATGATTACCCCCTTTTTTTTAAAGCTTTATAAATTATTCTTTTGATGCAGATCCCTGCGCATGCTGAAGTTCTGTCAGAAAAGTCGGAGGTCAAATTACTTGAAGGTCAAAGAGAGAGACTGGAGGTTGTGTATGAAAGGCTCTCAAAGCAGACGATACCTTCAGACTCTGAAGTGTATGGCCAAGAAGAGACGGTGAATGCAGGGGAGAATGGCTCTGATAGAACAATGGAGGTTAGTTAAACTATGGCAATGAAATGTTTTACAGGTACCAGGAAAGTATTGATCAATCTGGAGAGTCATAGAGATTGAACAATAAACTTCTGCGAAGATATTAACTTTATATATCAAGAATAAATCATGTTGGCACAATTAATTCATAAATAGAGGTGAGAAAAATTCATTTCAACATTATGGATAACACATACCTGCCAACCCTTACGAATAATCCAGAATATTCTGTTTTTCTTGATTTCTAGGACCTGAAAATCTGGAATATTTAGATTTTTCAAAAATTTTGATTTTAATTTTTTTTTTTGGTTTTTGGTTTTTGGTTTTGTTCGTTTGTTGTTGTTGTTTTTTGTGTGTGTGTGTGTGCTAAAGCCAAATTAAGCTTGTTTAGCATGTCCCAGGATTTGATAGTTCACGTATTGTGTGCGTTGAATGGCTGCATGATCGAGCAGCAAATTTGTAAATCGCTTTTTGGTACAGATTTACCGCGTATTGCCGGTTTCACTGCCGCTGCAAGTGCGATTTCTTATATTTGAAGGCATACCATTTTCAAATGTCGGCAGGTATGGTAACCAGGGTTCTCATTTAACTTTTTTTCTTGGTTGTCAGCCGGGCTTCCTATACAGTTTTTTAGGTTGAATTTAGGCTTGAAATATTACTTCTATAGCATGAAAAGTTGTTGCTGTTGAAAATGAAAATTGTGACAATTGCTCTAGCCTGATGCTGAATGAGTGCTAAGTCATTGTCATTCTGGTAAACCCATGCCGAAACCCCCAATGTTTGAGGATTACCAAATTATTTCTATTTTTGCTTATTCAGGAGATTACCGGTAATCATATGTTAGAATGAAGTATTTATAACAATAGTTGGAATGCAATAAAACAGTTTGTCCCTTATTTATAGTTTGTTTCCCTTTTTATGTGTGATGACGTCAAAAGAGGAATGCCTTGAGGCATTGAATTTCATGTCATATTTCCTTGTTTGCTATATTTAAGTGTTACTTCTTCAAGACTTATCTTATCACTTATCAATGTCAAGGAAAGATTGCTTTATATTCATTTCAACTTTTGCACTATGAGTTTGATCTTGTTCCTCCTTGCCCCTATTTGTCAAATGTAAACAAATACACATGGACAGGGAAATAGAATACATTATCAACATGTTTGGCAATTCAAGTCAATTCAAGTCTGTATCCCCATCTTGATTTAGCAATATGAGCTTTATGTACCCTTGAACTTAGATTGGAAGGATAAATAACTCCTCTTGTTTGTTGAAGACGTAGGTTGAATGACAGGACTGCCTCTTTTATCATACATATTGTGCAATTGTGAACAGAAAAAGGCATTCTTAATGAGTATGTTAGGGATTAGTGGGTGCAGCTGTGTGCTCTTGCAATGATCTGGGTCTACAGGGAACCCACATCCAAGTTGAGTTCCGTGTGCTCATATTCAAGTTATCCTTAGTTTTCAGTCTTCATACTCCTTTTCTCTTTGCCCATAGCTTGCCATGTAAAGTTGGTTGAGGTTGCTGTTGTATATTCAAGCTGTACACAGATTATTTTATCTATCTATCAAGGTATCTTCTCTCAGCTCAGAGGTTATTCAGATTCAGATCAATTTTATTGGTCCATTCCGAAATTCAGTTTGTCGGCATTACATAGAGCACATGAATAAAATACAGTAGAAAATATAATACACAAATAGATACCGGTAATACACAGTAGTAAATTTACTTTTTATTGCAACATTTTCCCACACATCTCTGTTTCTTGCTTTCCTGGTACACTCTTGCAGTGTCATTTCACTCCATGTCTTACTATCCCCCTCAAGCAATTAGAGCAATTTCAACAAAAAACTGATTATTTCCTCAAAGTTGGCATGATTTCCAAGAACCAGTATAATACTATTCTAAAGGTGGAAAATATCAGTTTCATATGTATTTCCTTCAATGACCATTGCCCTTTATGGGATATAACTGTATATTGCTGAGCAATGGGCACACAGTTGTTTACACTGGTACATTGGTAAACCATCAAGGATATGTGTTAATTGTGTTAATTGTTTTCCCTTTTGCTCTCTACTCTTCCTGTTGTCATTCATTTCTTTGTAAATATTCATATTTAAAAAATGGTATTAGGTTTTTAATCTAATTTAAAATAGGCTAAACCTAGTCTCTAGGCACAGGCTCTTCTTTTGACACTTTAACGCAATTCCACAAAGTCTTGAGCTGAGACTAATTCTGTTGCTCACTCTGGCTGTGTCAAATAATTATTGTTCATGGCCTATGGAGGGCAGTAGACTGTGCAGTGTGCATAGTCTTTCAGTTCAGACATTTGTTAGGGTTTGTGCCTGCAAACTAGGCTAATAAGCCAGTTCACGGTTGCAGTCTGAACATGAGCAGATAAAGGTCATTGCAGAACAAATTTTGAAATACACGTAGACGAAATACTGGATACGTGCTCATGAAAGTTATGTAATCATTATTCATTAATGCAAAAGCAGTGCACTCCATGATACACAGGTGGAAGTATTCTTTGTAAAGGGGAAACAAAGGCTATTTATATAGCACCTCCATCGCTGTAGGAGTGATTATTTCAAAATGTACAAAGTGGGACATCTTCATGTTTTGAAGATCTATGGATATTCGGGATGATTGCAGTAATGTGCTAACCGTGAACTTGTCTATTCTTCTAATATACAAACTGCAAAAAAGGGGCAAATTCTAATTAAGTAGTTTCCGTTACAGGTTTCACTGTTTGTTTAGTGCTGTCATTGACGTCATTGCGTTTGGGATACCGGTAGATGCTCTCAAATACTTGGCATATTGAAGGTTAATTGAAGAGGGTGTCTGTATGAAAGCAAAACTTAAGCATATCAAAGGGTCATAGCTCTGAGAAACTGACAGAAACTGACTGGTATCAATGACGACCATGGTATGCATATATATAGCCTGCTTAGATATAAAATTCTTTCAAGATCGAAGTGTATTGAACTCAGCTTTATTTTAGGAGGTAGGGAAGGAGTGGGATAATTTGCAAAAGATGTGTATTTTGATTCATGATTTCAATAGGAAGTTATGTTTATTTTTGTGTTTGGAATGGAGTTATTTTGTTATCAACTCTTTAAAAAATGAGTGGGGTTGGGGGATTTTAAGGTTATTTGAATAAAAGATAAAAGACAATATTTTCAAATTACCATTTTACTGCAGTGAAGGAACGCAGGGTATATTTTAAATGGACCCCAAGGGATTTGGGGGGGGGGCAATTTAGCATGCAATGTATGGGAATAGATAATGGAGATTTATTTTCAGCGCACCATGACCAAGTGAATGAGTTCGTTGACTACTCAATTCTCTGATTTTTGTCTAGCTTGATGCAGGACTACCCGGCTCATGTAGGCAATGCGTTAACGTGTTGCTTGTGATTTGATTTTAGTATAACCCATCGGTGTGTTGGCTCAGTCAGTACAGCATCCGCCTCACAACCGGGAGGTCGTGGGTTCGAACCCCGGCCGCGTCATACTAAAAGACGTTAAAAGACGGGAGTTGCTGCTACCTTGTTTGGCGTTTCAACAATAAAGGGATAGAGCAACGTCGATCTGGCACTGCTCAGTGGCTGCCGGGCTCACGATCAATTGGGCAAAAAGAATTTCCATTTTCGGTTTAATAAAATTTGGAGATTTTAAAAGATTATTATTATTTTTCATTGACTCCAACCCAAGTCACCTGCGTCCTTGTATTGTGAAGGTTTAATAATTAATGACAGGATGACACCTACCTTATGAAGGTATTGTTTTTTTTCTCACAAGGGTGTAAAGTAATTTGTGATTATAATCCGCTCTTTCATACTTTTGAAATTGGGTTATATCCATTCTGACTTGATTATCATGCAATAAACTAGCTGTTTGAATAGCAAAATTGAAATGCAAGCATGAAAGCCTGATAAAAAGCATATACCGGTATATTGAATATAAACGGCACATAACGGCACATCGATCTGGCGCTGCTCAGTGGCTGCCGGGCTCACAATCAATTGGGCACAAAGAATTTCCGTTTCGGTTTAATAAAATTTGGAGTGGACTAAAAGATTATTATTATTATTATTATTATTATTATTATTATTATTATTATTATAATAATGTGTCCAAGCAATAATGAATACCCCTATCTGCAGTATTAAATTGGCCTAATTTGTATTTCACTATTTAGTGCTCAATTTTTTTTTATTTTTGCTCTTCATTTTGACAATGTTGTAAAGTCATCAGGCATTCTCTTCACATTTCTCATTTTTAACAGAACACATATTGTATACCTCAACTGGGTCATTAAAAAAAATTTCTTACAAGATTCAATTACATGAATTTAGATATTTTGACAAATTTTATATGATATTCGTAAAGATCGTCACTTTTAATGATTGTCAAAATTTGATATCTCACATAAGAATGATATAAATCTTGATGTTTTGATTTCTTTGATTCCTTGCCTTTCCCAGCCTCAATCCAAACGTTATTGCTCAGATGCTGAAGTCCAGCTCCGAGATGCTCTTGGAACGTTGAAGTGTGCCCTCACAAGAGTACAGGAGCTGAAAGCAGGAATGTCACAGACACCCGATTGGTTAGAAACAGAACTATTGTCAGCCAGGAAGAGTTTTGATATGCTGTTTTCTGATGAAGAACCTATCTTATAACCTTGAAGTGACCTAGTTCAAGGTATTTTACAAATCCTGGGAATGATGGCAATTTCACTTGATTCAAACCACATTTATACTCGAGCCAGGGTTTAGGGTTCAAATCCCATCCCAGCATTAACGTCCTTTGGCAAAACATCAATCCCACTCTCGACCCAATTATTAATGATTACTATCACAGGGTGCTCAGTAAGAACAGCATTGATGCTGATGAGGCTTCCTTGGCTAAACATAATTGTTATTCTTATTCCACTAACCATACTGGCATCAGACTGTCTACAGATTGAACAAAAATATGACATTACATTGCAGCAATTACAAACATTACAATAACCTTTTGCAAAATTTGAACAAACAGCGTTCTTTTTTTTCTCCACAAATTGGCTTTGGGCCTGTGGTTAAAAGTGATTGCAATCACAAAATAAACATCTTGGGTAATATAGATTCAGATTTTGTTTCAAATAGATAGAGAAATAGTTCAAAATTTAACAAATCTTTGTGTTGTTTCCTTTGTTGTAAAATCTCTTTTTTTTTTTTATACCTGTCATTGTATTTCAGTTGACATTGGTTTGACAATTGAAAATGAGCAGAAATTGACACTTGGCATACAATGAAGCAAATAAAGGATTATATTCTTAATGATTTTTTTGAGAGCATTCTATTGGCCGAGAGGCTATCAAATGTATTCTCACCATTTGTTATATCGTCCTTGTTTTCACGAAGTGACGGTAGTGAGGAAAATCGTAACGTAAAGTGAATGCAATATTTTTCACTACCGTCACTTCGTGAAAACAGCGACGATATGTGCAGGAGCATGCAGTATAGCACCCCTTTTTTCACTGTAAAACTTGTACAAAAGTGCATTAGAGGGCATTGCTCTCTTCCCCCAGCGTGCACCCATTGTATTCATTGTCTTAGCTGCATGCATCTGGTGCAGAGGTAACCTCAACGTGATGGAGAGTGCCCGACTCCCAAAGGCGCATGGCATGAGATCGCAAATACTCACAATTATATATCGTCGGTGGGGTGACAAAACCTTGTATCTCAATTTTTTGAGATTTTGATCTTTTTGCATAATTTTGTACCTAATGGCCTACGACACCATCTGATAAATCCATGGAACGCTTCCTTCTCGATTTTTCACAAATTCCACACAAACACCCTTAAACTAAACCTCGTAACTTTAACCCCCTTTGAAGCTGCACGTAATTCCTTTTCCTCATAACTCACACACGGCCTAACAGTACCGAAGTTAGTGTATTCAAATCCTGGTAACTTATTCAACCAAATCCTCATAACTCATTCAGAGTTGAAAGTAAGAACTCGTATCTCAATTTGAATACAAACTAAAAACTCGTATCTCAATGTAGATAAACGCAAAAAACTCGTAACTCACTTTCAAATATAAAAACAATTATTTTACTGTATTTCAACAATGACAGTAAAAATAGTATAAATATTCCAGTTTTAAAAAGAAAGGATGGTGTCACAGCACTAAATTTGTTGAGACAGGAAAGTTTTTTCGCTCTCCTGAAAATTCATGATTTTTAAGATACAAGGTTTTGTCACCCCACCGACGATATATCAAATATTGCATGCATTTTGTTGTTCAATGTAATTCATAGTCACCTCCAATTTCAGAAATCCCCTTGTGCCATTATATTTCAACCTAGGCCTGTGTCTTCTGTGAAATTCAAAATTTGTTAGCTCATATATTTTGATGTATTGAACGGAGGAGCATGCAATATTTGTAGATTAATGATGCCATTAATAAAAAACAATAACATCTTTTGTCAAGATATTTAAAATATTAGGTGTTATAAGCAAATTCAGTGGAGAGAAAAAAAATATTCAAGTATCTATGATTAATATAATTGGAGGCAATTATGTACAGTACAGCTCAATTGTACTGTGAATTCAAAGTGTAAATGGTTATATATAAAATTATTAAATTCTGTAATAATAATTGTGATAACAGTCTTGTCTCATATTTGACATTATGATATTGTCAATACTTCACCATAATGAAGAAGGGTGAAATGGTAAAGGAATAAGTCAGAAAATTAAATGAGGTAGAGTGACAGGAGGAGGAGGGGGGGGGGGTGGGAGAAGGGGGCAGTGTCAATTTCAGAGATAAGTTTTTTGAAACATGAAATAAAAGAGAGGGAGAGGAGATTAAAAAGGGCAGAAAAATAAAGGGAAAAGAGAAGAGAAGAGAGAGAGAGAGAGAGATGCAACATAAAGATGAGAGAGGGAGAGAGAGAGAGAGAGATGCAACATAAAGATGAGAGAGAGAGATGCAACATAAAGATGAGAGAGAGAGAGATGCAACATAAAGATGAGAGAAGAGAGAGAGAGAGAGAGAGAGATGCAACATAAAGATGAGAGAGAGAGAGAGAGGGAGAGAGAGATGCAAAGTAAAGAAGAGAGAGGGGAGGGGGGTAAAAAAGTGTCTGGCAGGGGTGAAGGGGGAAGTAGAAGAAGGGGTCATATAGGGGTAAAGATAGCGATCAGAAATAGAATGAAAAAAGGAAAAGAAATATAGATGATGGAGAAAGCAATGAGGAGAAAAAAAGGAGAAGGAGAAGAAGAATTGGAGATACTCTTACTCCCTTAAAAATACAAAACAATACATTTAATCAAGGAATGAAACCGTTGCAAGATAGTCTGTGGTGCATGAAATCAAGCATTTATTGTAAAATATAATAAATATGATAGATAGCGAAGCAACATTTCTTTCCGCTATATATAGATAAATGTGTATTAATGTGAAACAATTTACGCAATAAGCAAGGCAGCAAATGGTAGGTAGAAAAAAGTTTTAGAAATATATCAATTTTCTTTTCACACACCCTCAATCCCAACATTGATAATATGTATAGTACGATAAAAGATAAAATTCCTCATTAGATAATCACACAATTATTCAAGGTACAATTCATATGATATAATATAATATAATTTCCTCAACGAAATTATACAATCAACTTTTTTGTTACAAATAAATACTACACTACAGATTTCAGATTGCAAAAATAAATGTTGTAACATTAAATCTGATACATGAAATAATAAGCACAACACAAGCATAAGCATAGGTACAAAATGGACGCCGAACTCAACGATAAATCAAATATTGACTGTAACCTTGTTTCATAGCTCGTCAACGTAAATGTATAAATATGATTTGACCGAGAAAGATATTCTAAACTACAAGTATTAATAGACCTAAAAGAGGAACACAACATAAGTAATGGTAATTCTACTCCTTCGTATTGGATAAAATTGGTATATAATTTAACTAAAAAATGATGTAAACAAAAACTATAATACGAAAACAATAGTAATCGTACCAAGCTGAACTCAACAAAAGAAAAATATAAAGGATTTTGATCATAATTTCATGCTTCATAGTTCATTGTTCTTTTACCTCAAATGTATAATTTTGACTGTTTTAAATATATGTACAGTTTACCGGTATGCAAGAATACGTCTTGTAGTGTAAAGGCTGGAAAAGAGGAATGATTATGGTATGCCTATAACGTTTCAGAATCTCATTACGGCTTGAAGTACAAATGTAATGCACGTACATCCGTTCATATGACAATGCTATTGACATGGTACTATATATTACATTATTCATAGAATAATTATAATTGATTCCCGTTTGTGAAGGAAGTAAATGATTTAACTCTTTTACAATTGTTGCTTTGTAACTATTCATGTCAAACCCACTAAAGGCAGTATATTTGTGTTGCATATGATTCCCTTTTAATGGTATTTGCATATGAATGAGTGTTTAGGATAAAAATTTCAGTTAAAACTTTCAAGAGATGGAACTATTTAAAAAATCAATTGCATTCATTCATTTGAGGCAAATATTATACACAGACCTAAAAAAGAAAATGATCATAATATACGATCAAAATATTGACCTCGTGCACTGAGGTTTGTGACAAATTTATCACCCCCCTTAAATAATAACATATCTTAATCTATATTCAAGTATCTATTATATATTATTTTCGTGAATTACAAAACTACAATTAGAGAAAAGATTATCTTGTGGAAACTGACCCACAAAGCTACACTTGTCAACACTAAATTTGTCTACACTCGTGATAAAACATTAAATTATATTACAATATGGACGTTACATAGTGTAATAGAAGAATACAAGTAAATATTGCATCAAACATGAATAGCTGAATATAAAGAGATATAAATAAGCTAATAATCTTAATTAACATTCGATAATTGGCATTCCGAACAATAAATAAAAAAATGAAAAATATGTTTTAAAATGTGTTAAATGGTACATATATCTTCTCTCCCCGCAATATTTTTGAAAGCAAAATGCGCTTATGGATTCAATATTATATTAATCTTATTGGTGAAGTTAAGATTCTGAAAGAACATAACAATGACAAGCATTCTGATATAAAACCCTCTCATCAAAAACGTCATATGATATCCAAACCATGCTCATTTAAACACTCTTTAGTAAGTTATAGAATAATCAGTTGGTCCCCGATTATTGACTTCACAAGAGTTAATAAAAAGATGTACGTGTCACATTTCTACGGCGCTTAAAAACACTATAGTCTTAAGCGCTATATAAATGTTACTATAATAATTATTATCACATTTTAGAAAGAACTCATGACTGTATCACTATCATAAATATAAGGAAATGATTATGCACAATTGAATGATGATTCTCGCATCAAATTTGAACAGAGATGAGAAAAAATAAATGTAGTCTGAATTTGGAGTTGCTATGCTACTTTTAAATCAAGGTGATTCTTTATAATAATAATATTGTTTCTTCAATAAATAATTAAATATATTCAAGATGAGATGAATAGTACAATACTGTTTCACATAAATATTGTCATAAATAAACATGCTATTAAATAACATAAATATATATATATTCCTGAATACAACGTAAAACACAATACATTGTACCTTTCCTATAGTACTTAGTACTACAGAACGGCAAAAACAATAAATGACAGACAGAGCACATAAGCTTATAGTACTGTTATAAACATTACTGTCTGATATCCTCAACGTGGAATACACGAGTATGTAATATATATGATTATATATTTTCGTAGAATTTGAAATTTCAGTAATTTTTAATGTAATCATAGTGAATTTTTTAGTCTACATGTATGAATACATCATGATATTGAATAGGCAATTTTGTTAAAGATTCCAATAGATGTATTCAAAACGGAGCAAATCAATTGTAGTAAAATAAACAGTTAAGTAGAAAGATTCAAACCCTAGTATAGGCTGACAACTGATACGACAGCGGTGAATATCACCATACTTAAACATTAGGGTCATTACCGACCGAGTAAAGAAACAAATAAAAAGGAATATTCTTTGAAAAAGGAAGGAAAATGAAACATTTCAAGAAATCAGCTGCTATATTGACTGATGTTTTCTTCCCTCTCCATTGACTGGACTCAAAGCCGACTCAAAGCCGATTCAAACCTGGTAAGGATTGTCTTAAACTCGATTAAGACGTGGAGGGTTCTGGGAGAGAACACTAAGCTGTTTGTTGTATCTTCAAATTCTGGATAATTATCTACAGCCAAAACACTGTAGTTACGTGATTCCATCTGCAATTGAAGAAAATATAGAAAAAGTAGAGAAGAAATAAATAATTAGAAAAATGACTGATTTAAAGACAATGTATAATAGGGTATAATTTACACAGGGAAGCAACATGGTATTCGTGGGGTTCCTGCGCTATCTCATACCTTGTTTTAATGAAGTTGACCTTATTAAAAAATGTTTGTGTTTAATATAACTAAAATTGATCTACATTTGCAGAATAAAATGGGAGATATATATTTTAGAATACATGAGTGCCTTTTCACGGCGGCTCGTTTAAAGCCCGGTTTATTGTACTTTGTATTAAGTAACAAGTTGAGCTATTGATAAAATCGCACGTGATTGACTGTGAGTAATATTTATTCATTTATTTTGTTTTTTATTGTCAGCAAATTTAGTGAAATGGGGCCCCGGTCAGGTCGGTTTCGTTGGGGTTGACTGGAGTCATCAATGTTTGAATGGTTTCGTTGGGGGTGACTGGAGTCATCAATGTTTGAATGGTTTCGCCAAGACTTTTTACTTCCATTTGGAATTTTCAATTTGCGAAAAATTTAATAAAATCAATAAAATCACTCAGTATATACAATCGTAATTTGGAATTGCCAATTTACGATCAATCAGATAACTTACGTATCGCTGAGTGAGTCTAATCATCGCGGTGATACAGTTTCTGGCGTGGGTAAATTTACCATGGAAACTATCTCCTACAGGAACCACGTGACTTTCATCTGTCATTATACGTTCGAAGACCCGTCGGTAGATGTTTAATTGATGGTGCAGAATAGGAAGAATCTCATTAGACTATTCGTGAAGAAGGAAAAAAAAAAAAAAAGAGAATATAAGCTTAAATTATCACTTTATTCTGAAGAATAATGGTGGTAGTATTAGAAGTAGCAGTAGAAGAAGAAGGCGAATAAAAAGAGGAAGGAGAAGAAGAAAAATAAGTAAAATGAGGAGTAGTAGTAGTAGTAGTAGTAGTAGTAGTAGAAGTAGTAGTAGTAGTAGTAGTAGTAGTAATAGTAGTAGATTATGATATTGATGGTGGTGATAGTTTCCATAATTATCAACTCAATACATTAATTGATTAAAAGTAAACGTTTTTATTCAAATCTCTTACTATGTGAAATAGCTTGGTCTTGCTCTGCAGTAAATTTTAAAACATGGATAAAAACAAATATAGTGACCCTTACCTCATTCTCCAAGATGATTTGGGAGGCCAAGGCTACGGGTAAGTTGTTAACGACCACGTTAACAGGAGCCACAGTAGGGTCTGCAAATCGTCTTACTCTCTGTAAAATAAACAAAGAAATGCATTTAGATGCTGATGCACAAATAGGTCTATGTAGTTCTAACACCATAGGCGTAAAGCTAAACAAAATGTCATCCACGGTTATTTGGGGTCAAGACCCCTATCTTATGTATTTTGAGGTGTGTCACCCCCCCCCCCCTTGTCTGTGCCCCTCCCCGATCAACAAGTTTGGCTATATGCCAATTACCGATGCACTTGAGATAATCTTAAATAATCATGCAGTCATTGATATAAAGCAATAGCTACTCTTACATGATACATGATGTATGATAGGCGTGTACAATGGATCCTCGTTACCAAGAACGCTGCCATAACAAACTCTCAAAATGAAATAATTTTGTCATTCCGAATTCCTTTGTTTTAAGTCCTGATATATGAAGAGTTCCTGATAACAATGTAAGTTTGCCTTCTTACAAGGGCTATGTTGAAACAAGGTTTTATTTAGTACAAGTAGTACCTGCCCGGCGCAAGCGACCGCAAAACAAAATTTGAAGAAAAAAACCTAGAGCAATTTTGATAACCATGTCCATCACCTTTCGAAAATTGCGAACCTGACAATGACGTCATTCGTAATTAGAACATGATCTCTATTGGACATACAATAAGTAATGACATTTTCACGAATTTATTTCTCGAAAGACTTTGCGATCCTGTTCTCGGGAAAATGGTTATGTGCCAACTAGGAACAGACGTACACAATACTTTCTCTCGTTACTGTTTTAGAAACAAAACAAATATTTTTGATATCCACTTTCTCTCGCCTTGGTTGACATAATTACTCCTGTAAATAGGATCCAATTAACAGCTTCGTGGCCATTGTACTGAAACGTAGTCAATTATAGAACAACAAAATACAGCGTTTGCGCGTGACACGCATTATGACGTCAACTATTCACTACTTTTCCACAAAGAAGAAAAATCGATTCTGTTGCAACTGAATACATCTCAATAAGTGCTAACTTGTATCGAAAAGTAATTAAGACTCTCTAACAGAATTCTTCAGAACAGAAGATAGAAGTTATTGAAGCAGTTTCGTTATTTATTTAATTATTAATGTATTTATCTATTTATTTATCTGTTACAACCATATAAACAAATTGGATTTCAAATAAATAATTAACGATGGCCGAAATTAATTACAATGTGAATGAAACTTAGTAAGGTCTGTGTAATAAACATCAAATAAATAAATAACACAAATTGAATATGATTATAATATAGGGACGTTCCGGCTAATCACCGTTATTGTCTTTAAACAAAGATTAAACTGATTACATAGATTTTCCATCAGGGCCTGTACAAGCTAGTGGGCTGCCCTTTAAATTCTATGTTAGTACCGGTAAAATATTTCCCTTTTATTTATTTATTCATTATTATTTATCTTTTTTTAAGATTTTTTTTTTTTTTAGGGGGTTGGGGGGGGGGGGGGGGGGGTTGGGAAGAGGATGTCCTCTGATTTCTCCTTATAGTCCACAATAAACCGGTTTGGACCAGATTAGGACATGACCAGTTTTCTCGACATCCTTCCGATGTACTATTTTTCTCGACATCCTGCCGAAGTTTCTTTCCTTTTTATTATTCTTGTTGGTTTATTTCGTGTCAATACCCATCACCCTGCCCATTCGCAAATCCAAGTCGACCACAGACCGACATTCCGGGTTTTTCTTCTTCCAGCTTCCTACCCTTCTACTACCATGACTAACGTTTCAATAGATCTTTGCTCACTGTCAACATGATTACCCTTCCAAAGTTTCTTGCATTTTTACATTAAAACAAATATTTTTTCTTCGGCCTACATTACTGATCCCCGAGCTATCATATTAGACGATAGCATCGGAGTTTCCCCTTTTGAAGACGTGAAGTTTTGCTCGCATGCATCATTATTTATATCATGACCACCTGAAACCCGAAAATAAATGCATTTAGATATGAGTATATAGGCTAAGCGAAAATTGCTTTAAAGAAACCGTAAAAGGTGAAAAGTGAAAGCTCTTTTGACTAATACCAAGAACTATGCTGTCAAAAGACTGCCACCTAGTCTTTGAAAGATAAAAAGGTAATTCTACAAATAGTTTGATTACATAGAGCGTAAGTCAATATCGAATGAGTTGCAGTCACAGAATATCCCAAAATACAGACGTCATCAGAGTGATTTTCCACGCTTCGTTTAGTTTGGTGTATAGCGAGAGGAAGTAGACGGTTTGTGTTGACTTTTTAAGGTCGTTCTTCGTCACGAATCAATGACAACGAAATTCCAAAGGTTAAGAAAGAAGGGAAACCCGGATATGGTAGAACAGAGTAAGAGCAGACGTTAATAATTATCTTGGAATTTAATCCCTCTGTGATTGACAATCATGGTTTAGCAGACCTAACATACAAAACGTAGCTTGATACTCGACGGATTTTGAGATATCCATCCATCACTGCTAAGTATGACTCACTTCTTTGATTTGTCCAATGTAATGAGTGACTAAGTGCAGGTACTCGTTGGGGGATGCCCCTACATTTCCCCTTTTTCAAACTTTACATTTTTGTTTTAAATCGGGCTCGGAATAAGTTATATGAATCCTACGGTCCTATTTTTTCAGTGAAAGAGAAGATTTAAGTTCGTTACTCTTTGTCTTGTGAATGTGATATTCTCATTAAATTTACACAGAACTAAGGAAACACTTTTTTTCTTCTTTTTTTTTTCTTTTTTTTTTGGGGGGGGGGGGGGGGTCATACCACTTCGTTCAGAGTGGAATTCACGCTCAAAACATGTAGTTCCCTCTCAAAAGAGATCAGATACTCTCTTGTCTGATCGGGATTGAAATTATATGACGATACTTTGAATGGTTTAGATTTACAAGCCCCGGAATGACTAGAGCTTAACTTTTGCTAAACATTCAAGCGTGCAAAAGGCTAGGATCTCGCAATTTCTCTGATAATCAATATTTTTACTCCTTGATTAACATGAGAAGGTTTTATAGCCAGTGTTATATATAATGACGTCGTAAGTAGGCCTATTTTCTACAAAGCAAAAGAGGACCGAATTAAATTTGGTTAAATGTCATCCATTGAATTATTGAACGCCAAATCTGACTATTTTGTATTCCTTGCAATTTGTTTTACTCTTATACAAAACAAAGAACTTTAAACATAAAATTAATCCTCATGAAAAATGTTTTATATAACATTTTGGCCTTTTAATTTAGTTGACACTTGAAGTTACCTAAACCAACGAAATAACTTTACACCGTTTATGTATGGATGCTTCGAAATGGGTTTAAGTTAAGACTAAAGTAAGCAAGGACTAACTTTAGGATTAAGGTTAGGACTTTAGGCACACTTACGAAATCCTGGAGAATACATATTTCCTCATTATCAATGTGGCAGTCGTAGAGGTACTCAAACAATTCTTGTAAGTAATCATTTAGGGAAGAGATCTGCTCTGCCTCGTAGGTTGTTGATCGAACATTGCGGCTTATCGACGCCGAAAGTACTGGGCTGTAAGAGGTCGTCGATAGAATGATCAGCAGTGCTAGCACCAAGTCTGGTTAGATAATGATAGGACAGAGAGAGAGAGAGAAGGAAGAAGAATTGCATGAAGAAGTAGAAGGAAAGTTTAAATAAAACATGAGTAGAAAGGCGGGTTTGGGATTAGATGGAGAGATGGGAAAGAAAGAAAAAAAAATACAAATTTGTTACAAAAAGAAAATAAAAGTACATAAATTATATACCTTTTACGCACAGTTTTTAAAAAATAATATTATTATGAATCTAAGGGTATGATATTTGGGTTTTGATGATGCATGCACATTGGGTTTAATTTGTGCTACAGGCCTAATTTCTTAGTGCACAGGGGTGAAAATCCATGCTATTCGGACTCATATTAGAGATCCCTTCGTTTTGGGAGTTGAATCCATTCCAAATTATAGTGGAGTCCACTCTAAAGTGGTCTAAATTACTATTTTGATATTCCAATTTTAGAACGAATTCCGCCCAAAACAGAAATTATCGGTATTTAATCCTGTATGTGCTGCATAGTATTCAGTGGGATTCTAGTATTGTAAGTATATAATAGTTTTCAGTAGTATTAAATGTATTCAATTTTGATAAACTGACTATTTGATTAACGTGACAAGTACGTTATATTGCTATAAACTTCTTAATACATTTTTAAACAACCTTAACGGTAAGTACTTCTTTTGTATCTGTTTGAATCTTCCAATCTCGCTCTCTCTGCCTCTCTGTATACATTCCTATATCCTCTCCTTTTCTTTCCAGTTCCATATTCATCCACTCTCTTTTCATTCCCTACTTCAGTATGCCCTACATATTTTCCATTGGAAATTTGCCCCCCCCCCCTCCCCTCTAGCTCGTTGTCTATCTGCCCCCTTGTCTTTCTCTCTCACTCACTCACTCACTCTCTCTCTCTCTCTCTCTCTTTCTCTCTCTCTCTTCCTCTCTCTCTCTCCCTCCCCCTTCTCTCTCTCTCTCTGTCTCTGTCTCTCTCTCTCTTCACCTCCCCTCTTTCTTAATGGCACGTTCGCCGTCTCCTATGCTCTTGTTCTAATTCCTTAAAAACCCATGAAATAAAAGAATATAACAAGAATAACGACGCACTAATAAGTTTCACAAATAACTTTTGAAACTATACACAACATAATATTCTGCCGTGAATTCCGTGTACAGTCTGGTCAATATTTGTCAAAACTAAAATGATATCAAAGAGTCGAACTTTGGACTTTCCATTCACGTGTTACTATTTATGTTATGCTATTTGCACTCTACCGTGCAAACTAGTATTTACTTTCCGAATAGTTTGAGGTTAAACTACAATATTGTGCTATTCAGCTGCTATACGCACGGTAGAATTATCTAAATCTTTAAAAATACAGATCTGATATTTTTCGTAATCACAGTCATTCCGGTTTTTCAGGAAATCGTTTACAATTTCGAAAAAATTGCCCTTGAATATTTCAATTTAGCCTTCTGTTGTGTATTATATTAGAGAAATAAATTGTACTTCGTTTAATATTCATAACACATTCAAAACTATTCCGTATATCTTACTGGGTGCTCTAAGAATTTGTTTATGTAAAATCAAGACAGTGTTAAAAATGATGCAATCTCAATACTATATTCAAAACATAGATTAGAATTCTTTATTGAGTTCAACTGAAGCATATTATTCTATACAGCTCGCATAAAAACGCTTTACTTTCAAAATATTATTACCAGATAGAGCGAAAATGGATTTAGTAATACTTACTACTAAGGCTGCACATTTTGCTGCTGCTCCGTTGAAATCGGTAGTTGATTAGAGGTTTGACCACGGGGGTGGTTTGCCGAGAAACAGGGGCATCACCCTGCTCGACCACGGTACATCCACCTTGATTACAAGACTGCGAATCCATATTGCGTATTGCACCAAAAATCTCGACTCGTTGAAAGCAAATGCACCAAATTATCCAAACTCTTCCGTGAAATTGTTGTCAAGTTATCAATTTCAATAATCATGCAGCTCAGTTCTGCAACTTTTTGTTAATTGTGTTAAGCTGCGCTGCGGAGTTTGCAATGAAGTTGACGATGAATGAATGGATCATTTATACACATGTTTACTGAGGCATAACATCATGCATATTTATTTTAGAGGCGGAGCTTACCGATCACTTCCGGAAGCCTGTCCTCATAGAGATTGCTTTATTAATAGATTCTGATATCAACGCTTACAAAACTATATATTCAAATTTACCTGGAAAATAATTATCTTTCTGTAAAAGATAGTCAGTTATACATGCCAGCCAGTGATTTGTATTTTCCCGTTTTCTACCCTCTTTCCCCCTTTCATCGGAAATTAATTTTGTATAGTTAGGTAGAGTTTTTAAATAATATTTTAAAGTTTTTTTAATGTGTCCCTTCTTTTGTTTTAATTAAGCAAGTAGTCTTGTTTTGTATTATGATTAAAACTGTAGTAGTAGTAGTAGTATTTATTTTCGTATAAAAAACATAGTAAAAATGCATAAAATACGATGGATAGCCCACATTCAGCTAACCCGACATGGGAAAGCTGGTCTTCCGTGGGGTCCGGAACTGGTTGATGTCCGTATGTTTGAGAATGAAAATCCCTTTTTTATTGCGTGATAATATTCATTATTAACATAGCTGGTGTATGATACCGAAGATGAATTCAATTTTGACAAACTGTTTTTATTTCTTGGTAGATAAATAAGTTCGCTTCCCCAACTTTCTTCATTTCAGTAAAACAAATTGAATGACTATTCAAATATTATAACGGTCATAAATGAATATTGTTTATATTGTTTTAAATATCTATAGCAAATATACTGCTGTGTGCTGTAACAGAGTAGTTGTCCTCTCTCTCTCTCTCTCTCTCTGTGAGTGGTTGGGTGGTTGTATACCCATTAAGCTCCAAAACCTTGGTCTCTACTATTTGGTTGTCCATGTTAGATAATCGCACATTTCCCCCCTCTTCGGATCGACTTTCGCTACGCCGCGTACATACCTATCTTTCCCTCTCCCCACACACCCCTATACCCCTCTTCCTCCTCACAGCATTGACGTACTGATGGGAGGGGGCACCACAAAATTCAAGCGTGGTTTATTTCTAATTCAATAGGCCCCCTGGATCCCATGCCAATTAGTGACCTGCCAGTGTCCCAAAAAAGGTATCAAAATATACTCATCTGACCGTAATTAAATGCCTAAACCCCTGAGCCACCGGGGTTCCGCCCCCTTGGACCCCACCAGGGGCCCTAAGGCAGGCCCCTGAATGCTCATCTGACCGTAATTAAATGCCTTAAACCCCTGAGCTACATGGGGCTCAGCCCCCTGGAACCAACGCCAATTAGCGACCTGCTAGTGTCACAAATAAGGTATCGAAATATGCTACGCCTCTTGACCCCCACCGGGTCTGTGCCCCTAGACCCAACACCAAATTTATGCTACGCTTTACCAGATCGTAGATATTTTTAGCCCCCCCCCCCACCAACTTTAAGAAACGTTTCGCGGGGTCTGCTTGTAACATGTAAAAGTGGTCGTGATGCAAACAAATCTTTTTTGCCCCCCCAAAAGTTTTTGCTCATTACGCCACTGCCTCACATCATCCCATTTTTGGATCAGTTCTTTAGCTGTTTCTTTTTGCGGCTCGTCCCTCTTTTAATGAAAATTCCACTTTTTAAAAAAAAGACTTAAATCCCATCTGTACTAGTTTGGCTAGGAGGGATTATACCACACAGAAGGTCACTGACAGGTGGCTATCTCATCAACTCAGCTCTCCATTAACATTAGAAAAAGAGGATCACGGGGGACCAATGGTCACTGATTAGGCATTGTTTTCTATATAGAGGGAGCAAGTAGCTACAAGTAGTACAGTGGGCCTAAGATCATCATTGCAATTAAATACTCATTGTCATCTTTCTTCAATCTGTCCATGTTTGGTGCAGGGGTGGGGATATATTAAAGCTGGGAGGAAGTTCCATAATCGGGAAGCGGGAGAGAGAGAGAGAGAGAGAGAGAGAGAGAGAGAGAGAGAGAGATGGGGTGGGAGTATAGACTGTCAAGGTAATCTACTGGATATATGAATCACTAATACAGATTTCCGATCATGATGTCCACCACATTCCTTGAACATTTTGTATATCCATGTGGATTGACTCACATAGAAGGCGTAACATCAATAGAGGGGGATACCCGTGGGGTCTATCAGGAAGACACATCTCGATGTGAGTAACAATCAGTTCAAATGCTCATTAAAAAAATGTTGTTAAACATAATTTCGAAACTCACTTTATTGAAAAAAATAATCATCTTATTTTCATATTATATAAGATATAAAAAGTGTATAAAATATGGTAATAGTGATAGCAGTAGACCTAGTATCTTATTATTATAGTTAATTGTCATAATCATTATTACTATGATCATCATGATTATCATGATTATCTTCATTAATATTATTGTTATTATACTACTACTACTAATAATAGTTCGTTCTTATATAGCGTGTTTTTTTTAGGACCGCAGGCCCTCTCAAAGCGCTTAACAGATATTATATTATTACCCCGGTCATCGGATTCAAGCTTACCCGCAAACAATGTATGCACATTCTCCACTACCTGGGGAGCATTCCAGCCACGCGTTATTTTTACAAGCGCACACTTTAGCTTTCGCATCCTACCGGGTACCCATTTAACACCTGGGTGGAGAGTGGCAAATGTAGATCAATGTCTTGCCAAAGGACATTAATGCCGCGGACCTTGTGATCCACAGCCTGGTGACATATCCACTCGACCACGACACCTCTACTACTACTACTACTACTACTACTACTACTACTACTACTCCTACTCCTACTACTTCTACTACTACTACTACTACTACTACTACTACTACTACAACTACTACTTTTACTACTAATACTACTTCTATTACTACTACTACCACTTCTAATATAATTAAAAATCAATTGAAGAGAATCAACTAGTTCTACCATTTCTAAGCGCTGTATTTTCCATTCTGATAGATCTATTCATAATTGTGCTCCGAGTAATCTGAATGAACTTTTAATATAAAACAGGTCAAGCTGTTTCATTCCAATACGGAAATATATCGCACTGTTTGTATTGTTGTATTCCAGACTTATTCCACCTAACATGTGTAATGTCTCTTTGTTAGTTTTGAAATGATCGAAGTAAGTATAATTCAGGTCACCTTTGAATACATGTTAAAGATAAAGGTATGTATATGTATATGTGTGTGTGCGTGTGCGTGTGTGAAAGGTTATGATTATGGTGACAAAATGAAGCACGCCACAATAGTTGAGTTACGTAGCTTTCGGCCCTTGGCCTTCTGCTTTTATTTTGCTGAATAAAAACCTTCCAATAAAGCTTAAATATCATTTATTTGATGAGCTATTTTCATTCAAGAAGCCATATTTTGATCGCTCATTTGTTATTTGTGAACAGTGGTTGATTTACTAATAACATGACAGTTTTAATGCAGTCCGTACTAGCAAAAATGAATTTGGGTTTTCATAATGTAATACAGACTTTACATGGACACTCATTTCATTTTGTCATACTTTGTTTTATGTACAGGTGCATAATTTGTAATTTAAATCTTCTGTGACATCCCCGGGTCTCGTACGGAGCTCAGTCTGCTTACATACCAGGCCAAGGGCATCCCCGATTATGGAACTCCCTCCCAGCTTATACCACCCCTCCCTGCACCAAATATGGACAGATTTAAGAAGATGACAATGATTATTTAATTTCTATATTGTAAGCTTTGAGTCTTTAATTTTGTAGGTTTAATTTACTTTTTCTTATTTATTCTCACTGAAATGAAATGTAACTTTGGTAACGTTAACGGGCTGAAATGAAATGTAACTTTGGTAACGTTAACGGGCCGATTTCCATTAACTTTGATGGCAGCTTCAGCTCCTGCAATCTATTGTTTAACACAATGAAAAGAAAGCTTTTCCAGCGGTTGGCTGAGTCGTTGCGAAAATGTCGGCCCGATTTAAAAATGTTAACCCCCCCCCCTTGAAAAAATGCTGCGTACGCTACTGCCTCCACCACCCCAATCACTATAAATAGCACAAATGCGAAGAGTCACCCCCCCCCTTGCGTCTTTATAGTTTTTATAATTACACGTGCACGCTTTAAATATATACGTGGGCCAAATACTCGATTCAATGGAGTATCCCAAGACTGGATCTAATTACCTTCTATGACGCCAATATCTACTAAAAATCAATTACATGCTGATTTCCCTATAACCACCGGGTATTGTTGCTGCTTAAAATAATGATCTAAATTAGCTGTGTTTGCGCACGAAGAATATCATCGTGATCATAAGATGCTTGAGACCGAGTTCTGATAGGACCTATGTTTAGAGGCGAGATCAAAATAGGTGCTATTGTCTTCGGTATTACGTCTATATCTCTGCTAATTAGGGATTGAAGCTATTCACGAATTAATACTTCAGCATCTAAAAATGCTAACATATTACGTCATGACGTGGGATCCACCGCCCCTCCTCGAGCGGTGTAGAAAAATACATTTTCTAGGAAATTTAGATGTGCTTGCTGTTCCATAAAACGCCACGCATTTAAGCAAATTATTGTATTGAAACTAATTTTTCGTTTACTGTGATAGCCACATGTTTAATGACGCGTAATAAATATACATTTCACATTAATTATTCATATACAGGAAGAGAATCATGGCAGCATAATAACATTAGCCAATATGATTGATGTACGGTCGCATTCGTATTAAATGGCAATCAAAATTTCCCAACAAATTGCTTAAAGTAGAAGCAGAAACTTTAGATGAACAAAGGGAAATCGAACGAGTGGTTGAAATCTATGATAACTATTAAATGAAGGATGATTTCAAAACAGACATTTTTAGTGTCATTACACTGTTGGCCAACAAGTTAGAATAAAGTGTTGTTTACCTCTTAAATGATTGTGACAATAACCTTTTTTTTTTGTATTTACCAATGTAAAGAGTCATAGTGATTGATTATTAAAGT